ATGCTTAGTCCCCACAGTTGAATGGTAAATCAATCATTGATTGGTAACCAGGGTTGGGCCTAGGGTTGGTTTAAACGGTTTAAACATGTTCTTGTTTAAACAATGTTTAAACCGCAAATGATTGAACCAAATCGGTGTAGGAGAGGTCCCTAGTGAATTCGTTTAAACATGTTTAAAGATCTCAAGAGATTATGGACCCAAGGCATGAGATCATGCGCACTTGGCAGAATCAAGCACTGAGAAATCTGCTGCTAGTGACATCACCCTGGTGATTTTTTCTCGCTCACCCGTTCTTATTACTCACAACATATATGTTAAAAAACATTTAAACGTTTTGGGGGTCATGGCTCTAAACGTGTTTAAACAGTTTAAAATCTAAACGGTTTATATCATGTTTATACGTGTTTGGACCGACTCTGTTGGTAACGCATGTTTCATGAGTCCTTTCCCGGGGATTTTACCATGAACGATAATTTGGTAGTCCCACAATTGGGGTCATGGTTTAATTTGGGGACATAGTGAAATGCACATGGGTATGACTTAAAGACCTGGGGGACGGATGTTTGTCGACTTTTATTGTCAACCATCCAATGATTGGGGCACCCAATTTTGACCCTTAGCCATATCTACTATAGATAAATGGGTTAAAATGATCATGTCCCCCATTGAATGACTATATAGTGTCTAATAGACCTATATAGTTACTATAGTTTCTATTAAAACTATATGAAATTATCCCATGTCATCATGGTAGATCAGTATAAACCTATAGAAATTTATATGATCCCATAATCCCATACATCAAACATCATCAAACTATATAAGTAGTATATATATAATATACGATCCCATATAGTTTCTATAAATTCTCCATGGTTCCTGGTTGAAGCAACACGCTGCCTCGAAGCTGAGATGGCTCTGTCTGAGCCCGCAGACGCAAGGGCTGCGTGGGAGATTTCGGCACCTCCTGTGGCGAACTGAATTTACCATGGCTTAAACACATGTATATATATATATGTATACATACATAATCATACATACATATATGTATATATGGGTAAATTATAATAGTTCACTAAACTGAATCGTTGTGCCATTTGGGGATGATTTCCCTTATTAACCATGATTCCAGTGAGGAAGGACAGTGAGGTCGTTATCATTTACCCATATATATGTTCTTGGATAACTTTTATAGGATTTGATGTTTGGTCGTTTTGATTTGGTTTTTAAATGTTCCAATTATGGACTTTAGATCACTTGTGATATGTTTTAGTTGCTTTCGAATATATTTTTGGTCGTATAAACCACCTCTATAGTATGGAAAAGAAGGAGGACCATATACCAAAATAATGGTTTGTCAATAGGGATTCCCAACTCACGGACTATGATCATCCCTCACATGTTAACTGTGAAACCCCACAATCATCAACCAGCTGGACTCTGGGAAACTGCTCATGTTAGTCTTTGGGAGCTCGATGGGACCTCTCAACAGACTTTTCATGACTTTTCCAACCAAAATGTTGATTTACAATGATTTATACTTTGTACCAAACAACGATCGACATTTCGACCAAGACCTGCAATCAAACCAACAGATAGGTTGGTTGACAACTAGGCACCTGCAACTGGGGAACGGGTTTGCAAAACCTGAGGAACGTGACAACCCCTCGGGGATCATTGTCCCCAGCTAGAGATGGAAAATCAACAAACATCTACCACCAATCAGAAAACCTACAGTTTCCACGATTTTGATCGTCTTATCATTTCCCTAGTGGGTATGCATACCCGGCACTACCCCAAACACTTGCCAACTATGTTCATTGACAATATATTCACTTTTATTCCCTGTTCTTGCTTTAAATCCCAAGTTAGGGTATCCCCAAAACCATGAGTTTCAATACCAAAATGGTCTAACTTGAGATGATTTGGGGATACCCCCATGACTTAGGAAACCCCCATTTGTCCCTGATCTTATTGGATTTGTTTTGGAAACATTGGGTACCTGTAAATCCGCTGGTCAGTCATCATCAGACCCGTTTCATCCCACAGGCTCCTCCATGGGCTTCTGTGCTCCCGGAAACGTTGAGCCAAAATGGGCACAGGGAAAAAGCCTTGAAGTGCATTGGCTTGGAATGTCCATTTGGCTTCGAAATTCATCAAAACATTTATATGTAATATTATGTAACCCTACCATGTGCCCGGAATGCTTCTTGAGGTCAAGAAAGTAGCGTGGGTTTGGCAGGAAACGGCATAGATTATCAGATTAGGCTTTGTGAAATCAAATCAAAGTTACAGTTGTAAAATTCTAGGTGGTGTCTACAAATCCAATGGTAAAAGCCATGCATCCCCAAAATGGTTGTGTTTGCAAGCGATTCTGTTTGCATACTGCAGCATGTTTGAACAAGTTGTGCAAAAAAAAAACTATAATATATATATATATTATATATATTATATATATATATATATTGATGATGATGATGATGATGATGAATTTGCATGCTTTATTTTGTAGTCTTCGGTTAATCGAAAGCTTTATGATCTTTTCCGCAGAAGCGCTTGGTAATCTTAGTACTAACCAGCAAAATGCTGAGAAATGTTTGCTTTTGACTGTTGGCCATGCTGAAATATACCCTTGAAGTCAGTACATGGACCGGGTATCCCATTCTATCCCAGTTGTGGGCAAAGAACCCATTCACTAAATCTTCCTAACTACTGCACCTGGTTGGTGGTTTCAACCCCTCTGAAAAATATTACTCAGTTGGGATTACTATTCCCAAACAGAAAAATAAAAAATGATCCAAACTTACCAACCAGAGTAAATCTTCCTAACTACAGCACTAATCGTATCTGAATCTGTATAATCGCCCCAACCAGTCAATTTCGCAGCTCACCTGCCCTCACCGCTGAAGAGCCATTTTGAAGCCGTGTCATTAACTGCCAGATTTCGCTTCGAGTCACGACTTGCACGAATTTCGCCCGGGGTAAATTGCGAGTAGATCTCACAGGTGGTGCATAAGGAGAGAACATCCATCTTCCATGGATGGCACAACTGGGTATGGACTATCGATAGCCACGGATCTGCGAAATTGATCAAAGTCTCAAAGTTCATGATCTGCAGCACCAGGTGATTGTTACAACACTGACGGTCTTGGAGGAGGCGGCTATCAAAATTTGGTTTACCTCATCTTACCTCTTAGTTCGATGATTTTCCTAGCTATAAACCTGCAACCTCCATTTAGCGCGGGTATTTTCCAGCTAAAGCCATGTTTGATGACACCGTTACGGGATGTTGCGGGTATATATGACCGTCAGTCATTCCTCACGATTTACCCCTCATCTCATCGATCTTGAGCGAAAGCTGGGCGATTTCGGACACTAACCTGCAGCTTCCAAGTCTTCCGAGAGCGTTATTTGTGTGGGATGTTGGGCTGTCCAAGGGCAAGCAACATGATGGCATGTTCCGTTCTGCGCATCATCTACCTAGGGTTCGAATTTCAACAGTTGCTGTATCAAAACTACTGTGGTTGGACGTTGAGCTTTGGATGTCACACAGGTTTCCAGACAGATTCTAGATGGATCAAAACTGTTCAAAACCTATTTATGTGGTGAAAACCCCGATCTGTTTACCATCCCCAAGTCATGGTAGAATCCCCGCGACTTGACCAGTGATGGTAGACGAGACGCTCGTTTCGAAAATGGACTCGAGATGATTTGAGATGACGTACAAAAACCTTTGAACACCAATCAGCCAACCTTTCAAAGCTTGGCCATCACTTGAGATCAATTGAGTTCATCAGTCTGAAAAAACCTTTCAAAGCTATCCCCAGGTCGTGTTTGTCTCTTGAATCCTGGAATGACCCACCAACAAAGTTGGCCCTAGCCACTTGATCCATGTTCAACCCCTAGCCGGTAGAATTTCAATGGGTCTACTTACTCAAAAGTTCAGACATTCCCGATCAGATCTGGATCATATCTGGACATCCAGTTCTATGGATCACTGAACCCTGTTCTGAGCACGCCGGGAGTCCCACTGTTCTTCCAAGGAAGTTCCAAGCACCAGTCCTGGATGATTGGATGCAGCTATCAATCGGCAAAAAAACACATGTGGAAATCAACGCTTCTCCATATAGGATCATTAAATAGGGTCCCCATGGCTTGTGGCACTTCAAAATGAACTAAAATAAACATAATTCATGAGGAAGATGATAAACAACTATATATATATATACACGTATACATCAAATAGATAAAAAAACAAATCACATTCCAAATATAATAAACACCTATATATGAGGAAACTGATAAACCATGATATCAACTTTGGAGGTACCATATATGTTCAGACAAATCCATGATATTTTCCTGTTCCCCCGATGGACGACCCCCACCATGTCGTGTCCTCTGGTTGGGGCCACCTGCATTCAGGTAGCGGCAGGCGATTGACAACGATTGGGAATGGAAAATCCTCCATTGATGATGTCCCATCTATAAATGCCCATGTATAGATGGGATTTCACATTTGCCACGTTTGATTAGCGGATAAGACCGCTATGTTTATGTATCAGCTTTTGTCGTAAACCGGCGGTTGAAACTCTATGGCTCAATCCATCCACTAGGAGAATGGTATACCCACAACAAAAAATCCGCTCGCTTAGCCCAAAAATAAAGACCCGGACATCACTTTTTGTACGGGATCTAATATGATATAATAATATGCTAAATAACTTTGTAATTCAGTGCCAATTCTCATCACACCCACACAATCTAATAGTTACAAAATAATGAATGGAGTCTTAGACCTAGCCCCTCAAATCATATTTTTGTACATTTTTGTTCCGTCTTGATTTCTACAGTTTAATGTCAACCCTGGATTAATAAACCAAGGTGAAATTTTTTTGGGGGAGTTAGCCCCCAAATAGTGGCTGGTTAAGCCCCGATTCTTGCGTTTCTCAACTGTGGATGCATTGATCCATGGCTTTCCATGATTTTTCCATGATTTTTCATGAGTTTTCCATGATTTGTTCCATGATTCTTCCATGATTTTCCAATATTTGTCCTACTTCAACATCGATTTTGGGAGTTCCCCGCCATGCCTTGCTGACACCGGGAACCAACCGGTAACCAACGCCGTTGTGCCGCGCCTTGCGCGTCTTGCGTGGGAACTGCGCTGCCAGGGCGTAGCCTTCTCCAGGCAACAGGCGGCACTTTGGCCGCGACGATGCGACGACCTGGTTTCACGGAGGATCTGGGAGGATCCGGGAAAAGACATATGGGGGGTCCATAAATAGGGCTACCCCGAGTCATCATTCATTTTGATAGGATGTTCCATTATAAGCCATCCATTAAATGGGGTACCTCATTTATGGAAAGCCTCTATGAATCATGATGTATCAACTTATGGACTAGAAATATCATCTACTATACAGTTGCTGGTGCATACCCTCAATTGTTGTGGTAAAGAAAATGTTTCGATTTCCAGTATTCTCAACCCCACGGTCATAGCCCTAGATTTGACCAACTGCCGGAAAGGCAAGTCGAAATCGTCCTTTCCTGCTGCTTCCATGATGCCCAGTTAAAACTGGAGAATCATTCCTATTTCATATGGGATGTGTATATGTGTATGTGGGATATAAACCACTTAATTATAACTTATAACATTAAGATGCACCCTTAAGTATGATATTATGCGCTCCTATATATATATATATATGCGGGTACAAGCCACAAATAACATTAAGACGCACCCTCAAATATGATATCATCCCCAAAGCGCTTGCTAAGAACTTGACAATTGGCAGTTGGCCATGGTTTTTGCTTCCGCTTCTTGGGCAGATTTTATCACCGTTTTATCCCACGGTACAATCTAAATCTCCATGCATCAACCGGATCATGGCATATTAATCCACTGATCATCAGAGTATGGATCAATATTATTAAGTAATTGGTATTTAATGATCAATATTATCAAGTAATTGGATCATTGCTATTTTGGTAATGTTATCATTTTTTTTCAACAGCAATTTACCCCCAAACATGACCGTCCCCCGCGGATCCCAATTTAGCCCAAGGCATTCCATGCATTCCATTGTCATAGGGGATTCCACCAAGCAATAAGCCCTAAATGAAACCAAACATTATATTGGGGGGGTCACCTTTTTGGCGGCTTATCCCCTAAATAATCTAAATATCTCATTCTTATCCCCATGGTGGTTGATTTATACCATTCTTTTTGATGGAAAAATGGACTTAAATCACCCATTGATAGCCCATTTGATGGTAAAATGAACTTAAATCCCCCATTTGATGGTTACTAACTTCCAGACCCCATTGGTAGAGGGAAAGAAAAACAGACGCCAGAAATCGTCGTTCGGTCCGAGGAACTAACGGTTTTTTCACACGAACAGGTTCTTTGAGCGACACCGTCGGTGGCTTCTTTGGCGACCGAGATGTAGGAAGACGATCGGGCCGATCGGGACCTCGCTGAAGGGAAGTTTGTGGGGTCCAAAATTGAATAAAACTTAAAGGGGAAATACGGGGAAAAAATGGGACAATAGTGACAATAAATCTAGAAAAATGAATGGAAAAATCAAATAATCGTCAAGCCACTGGCCGATGCTTCCGGGATGCTGGCGGACGTCTCCTGCCACTGGCAGATGTTGGACCAAAATTCAAGCGGCAACAGGGGTTTAACCAAGAAAAGGCGCGGCTTAACATCCAAAAACGGTGATCTAAGAAAACAAAAAAAATGGATTCAACAGAAACAGGTGCTAAGCAAATAAAATGCTGCTAACATCAAAAGATTTACAGTAGCCAACCAAAACTGGCATCCAAGCAACCAAAATGCCTCTAGTTGGGGCCAAGGTAAACTACCAAGCTCTCAGAGGTGCACATGCCATAAGAGCATGGTGATCTCATCAATAGTTGAACATGTAGGATTGTCCCAGTTTGGGAGTCTGGTCATGACACTTTGTACAGGCAAGGTCATCCACGTGCTTTCTCAAATGCTCCATCTATGGAATACATGTTCTGCATTTACACCAACAACTCCGAAGTGTTTGTATGTGTCATTCTACTGTAGGAACACCCAAAGATAAGTGTTTAAGGTAGTTTACGGTGGAGTCCTTAAATAGCCGATAGTTTCTTGAATCGATCCCTGATCTAAGGTTGTTGATTGTATTCCAATTTGTATACGGAGAAAAGACTTGATATTTTATATTTTAGTTTTGTCAATGAACATACAGAACCGTCTCACTGTCTCCAATTCCTTCCCCAAACCAAGATCACCATCTGCGGGATACCAACTCTTTTAAGAAAGCAATTGCTCTCTGGTACTCAAACGTGGCTGGAAATTACCCCATTCAGTGATGTTCCAATATCTTCCCATTTGAATGTATTAGTTTGTGAAAGTAGGCTACCCCCACCATCCAGCGGTTAATCACCATTTCCCCCACAAGTACTACAGTATATAAAAATGACCATTAATAATGACGATATTTTATGGGTATACCCCATTTTCAACCGAAACCCAAATCATGTCAAGTTGGTTGTCTATCCTATCATATCCCCACTTCCATTAAGTCCCGTCATGGTTGATGGCTAGATGTCCTTTCAAATGTCCAAAAAATCATGAACCATTTCCCACCGGCTGGTGGCACCTTCAAGGCTCGTGGGCTCGAGCTTTTGCCTTGTCTCTCAGGGAATAGGGAGACTCATTTGGAATTGTTGGATATTGAGATTTATAGGGATATCGTTAGGATACCACTGGGATAAAAATTGGGATGAGAATTGGGATGTACCCTCCGGTGTCATCAAACGTGGCAATGATAAATTCCTAGTGTGTAGGGTGATTTTAGCATTAAAAACCTCCATTTGGTGCGGGGAGTTTCCAGCAAGCCACGTTTGATTACCAAAGGGTCGTTATCATTGCCATTGTAACTGTAAAACCATAACCAGATTTCTCCAAATATTATTATAGCCATTATATTCTAACTGTATAACCATAACCAGATTTCTCCAAATATTATTATAGCCATTATATTATAACTGTATAACCATAACCAGATTTCTCGAAAAAATATTAATTATAATATATTATAATGACATGCAAAAATAGGAATAATCCCATCCCCCGTGCTTATGAAACACCCCCATTCTATGGTCTGCAAGATGTCTTTTTGAATATTAGGGAGAAGGGATTATATAGTTCTGTTGGCAACCAATGAATTTAACCAACTGATTTCGTTTGGTTGTGACCAGCCTGAAATATAAGGATAGTTGTGAAGAAAGATACCCTATAGATCCCGAGAGTCTTTGAGAGGGTTTATGATTCCCATCATGTTACATTCGCATTCTACCTATTATAATCAAAAAATAGTAAAGCATCAGTGACATATCAAAAATCTTCAAAAATGACAAAAATGAGCTTCGCTGATCTCCCGGAATCCACCAACATCGCCAGCGATGAAAGTCTCATTGACCAAAATGATGCTACAGTTGTATCTATTCTTTACAGATCTCTACAGCATACCAAATTGCACCAAATTCAGTGAAAGTGAAATGATCTCAAAATCTCGCCAGGCATAACATCAAAATACCTCAAACAATTCCAGATTTCTCGAAAAAAACTGTGCTGTGGTTCTGAGGATTTTGTTAACAGATCCAGGGGCTCAACTTTCCCCGCCCTGACCTTCGCGCGGGCGCTTGGCCGCGCTGGTCCGTCGCCGACCCTTGCTGGCCGGAAGTTCTGGGGGAGCGCCTGCAGCGTGGTGCGACAGGTAAGGGTACTGGAGGGTAAAATCCACCTGTTCCGCATGTTCTTGCCATGTTTCGCCTTTGTTGGAACGCCATCTATCATCACTTTATCCGATATTGGTTCCCTCTATCTTTTTGCAGGACATTCGTTTAGATCAGGGACATCCCCAAAAAACATCCACATGGTCCCGTAATATCCTCTTGTAATTTAACATATCTATGCAAACACCACGATTTTCATAGGTAAACTTGAGATAAATCTATAAATGGGCTATTTTCATCTATTTTTCCATCGCTATGTTAGTTTACTGGAGGTTATCACCACCAGTTCCAACCACCAGACCTGGTCTTGACTGCAACGCGGGTCGCTCATCGCCCACGATCAAAGGATCCAGATTCACCTGGTGAGGAGATTTACCCAAAAATGATGCTGGTCTTCGGGTACACAAGGATATGCTGGGGTTCAACAAAGATTCAACCAACAAGTGGTGAATAGTGACATCATGTGATATCGATAAGATCAAAAAAAACTGCACCAACAGGTGAGTAGTGGCAAAACATCGGAAAGTCCCGCAAAAAAAAGTGTGGATTTTCATGAGGGTGACCAACAAAAGCTTATTTTAATCCTCAATATTGGCCAGTATAACAGCATAACACCCAATCATCAACCAAACATCCTGCAACCATTCTCTCCCCACATGTTTGATGGTCAACAGTTATATCATGTTATAACCCCTATAAATGATGCTTCAATCCCCATGAAAAAACTCAAACAACTGCAGCTTCTGGTTCAAACGCCTGGCTGAGTGAGTACTTGTTGATACCGCCAACCTGCAGTACAACAGTAGAATACAAGTGTGTAAATGTATATATATATATGTATGAATGTATGGGTACAGAATTACTCAGGTACATATGACCAACAAATGTTCTGTTCCGGCCATATACCTTTTTTCATGAATGCAAGTCCCACCTCCATGTTCACATGTACAAAGGCCATCTCAGGCGTAGCAGGCCCGAGACCCGTGCTCTTGCGACCTGGGGAAGCTCATCAAGCAACAGGAGTAAAGGCAGCCACTGCTTAGTTTTTTGGGGTCATTTCATGTTGTTGGACATCTTTTGGGGATAGGTTTATTCCGCAATCCGAAAGATGTACCCATTGGCTTTGGACCAGGTGAACCCAACACGGCTGGATGGTCGTAGCGGACGAAACGAACCACAATAATATGTGTATCATTGTGTACCTATATATATATACATACGATACACTATGAGCCATATACATATACAAGGGAGTTACGGTGTCTCTTGCCCCCAGCAACCAAAATCCGCAGCTAATCCGCTAAACTGAATAAATCCACGTGTTCGTTGCACAAGTCCACATGTTTCATGTTTGTTGACTAAATTCCGGGAATCCCTCGCCGGTTCAATCCCAATTCTTCCGGGTTAAACTACGAAAGTTTTTGGTGAAATCAGCACTTCTTGCTGCTTACCCGCCGGTAACCAAACGTGGCTTGCTGGAAAATCCTCCATCTTGCTCGATGATTTTCAAACTATAAACCTCCATTGATAAGGGATTTCACGTGATTTCCCATTGACATGTTTGATTACCAAAGGGTAATATATAGTCATTATATAGATCCCATCAAAAAATCTTTAAATCACATTTAATCACATTCATGAAAAATATTGAAAAATCCCATTCGAAACCATGAAAATCAATGATTTCTACAGCGATTTCCCATGTTTTGGTGCTTCACTCCCCTGGTTTTTATCACTGCACCCTGGGGCACCCCGACGCAGCAGAGCCGGCTTTGGGGCCACCTCGTCTGCGGCATCTTCACTGTCCTCGTCGGAGTCGCCCTCCTCGTCATCTTGGGGGACGATGCACCTTAGCTGGGGAGTAGATCTTGGGATTTGTAGGGATGTCATTGGGGATTGATTGGTCAACTCCACTAAACATCAAAAAATGACATCCCCAATGTATTCCATTATATCCCTGTAGCTTACTGATTTTACGGTTTTGCCATCTGGTAAGTTAACATAGCTATGGAAAATGGTCCATTTATAGATGGCAAACATGATGATTTACCGGTGATTTTCCATAGCTACGTTAAATTAGCAAAGGGTATCGGTATAGGGATACCAATCGGCATTGGGGATTCATAGGGATTCATAAGGATTTATATCAGTACATATCAGTACCATTAGGATCATTTGGAAAAATGGAATAAAATTGGGATAGAATGAGAATATGCCTTTTGGCAATCCCGGAACTCAATCGAGGTTTAAATATTTAAATGGGAAAATCATGGAACATCATTGAACTAAATGGGGGATTTTCGGGAAAGCCATGTTTGAGTATATAAGCAGAAGAGGCCATGTACTACCTTCATGTGCACATTGTCCACATATTGGCACAGAATCTAAAGATATTCAAAGCAGAAAGTATAATGCTCATGAAAAGCGGTTTGCTCACCAAAATCCAGGGCTTTATTTATCCTCATGCGAAAAGACGGGCCAGTTTCACCCAAAAAACGGCAAAAACCAGTGATTTGAAACACGCTTCCACCAAATTTGGGATGAAAAGGTAGCCCAAAAAAAAGCAACCGACTAAAAAAAGTATTCAATGTATTCAAACAACTAAAGCTGAAGATGCCTGAAGGAAATCTCACATGTTTCCACATGGAATAACACCCCAAAGCCATCACTACATCTGACTTGGTTTCCCACAAAAAAAACATCCCACAGCTGTTGACCCATCAACATGTACAGTTCCCAAACCTCCAATTTGTGGTTTGAATCCACGACATCGCCCTTCCTTTGTTGGTCGTTGGTGCTTAAAATTCAATTGAAAAATCGTTGATTCCTCCCCATCCCATGAATTTGAATCACCCTGTCTCCAAAGGACGTAGTATCCCTGATAACCATGAGATATAAGGCACTTTGACATTGAATTGAATTGGCACTTTGTCTTTAAAAACTCGCTTCCTTCGAATCCATGGGAGGGGGAGGAACTTTGCATCCAAACTATTATTTGGCCTGTAAAAAAAGTCCAAAAATCATCCAAAAACATCCGAACACATTCCAAGATCATCCAAAATCATCCCAAATCATCCAAAATCCATGGGGAACTTTGCACTCAAAAAAACAAAAACCACCGTGCTCCAAGGAGCGCTTCGCCGATGTCTTTCAACGTCACAGTGCGGATAGGACGACGCATCGCACCGCGAGCTGCTCGACCTGGAGGCAGGCCAGGAGCTGGAAATATGTGCGGGACAATACTAGCTATAATATAATATATATATATATATACAATATTATGTATATATATATATAATATTACTATATTGTATATCATATATATATATATTATGTATCTACTGTATATTGTAGTGTATATATATATGTATATTTGTGTGTGTGTGATATGCATGTGTGTACTGTGTACATATGGGAACGTGTATATATACGTAGAAATGTATGTGTGTATATACATATATTTATATCGATATGTATGTGATTATGTACGTATATGTATATAATTATATATATATGTGTTATAGATATAAATTTATAATGTATATCTCAGATAAATACATACCCGTATATATATATACATATCATACATCGGAAAATTGTTCGCATACCTCAAATAAGCCATTCTTCTGGTTCATTCCGAGATGTGTGGTGAAATGGACCAGTTTGAGGGATACAAAGAAATTGCGAGCCCACTCTGCCCATAATGTGGGCACGGAAGACATGAAAGGATGAAAGGGTATCAACCAAAACATTGACAATTAAATCCTCAAGATCAATAAAGTCCGGTGTTGGGTATCATCAATAGTAAGTCCCAAGGTGTTGGGTATCATCAACTCTTGTATCATTTCTAATTATCTAAGTACATCCATTGACCTAAAATCAGATCCGTTGGGGATCCCCCAATCCTAACCGGTCCTAACCATCATTGAAAGGCGAGGTCGGGTAGGGTTCGGGTCCCAATCGGATTCGGGTCCTATCATCGGTTTCGTCACAGAGATTCCCAGGGATTTCCAGAGATATGGAAGACCGTTAAGGGGACCACAGATGGAAATGTCTAGTTTAGTATTAACCATCCATAATTTTGGGGTACCTAATTTTGACCCATACCCATATTTTGAGAGTTCAATCCAGGTATGTTCCTTGGGTGATTCTATGTCCAAGATTCCTGGACATCAACATCCCATCGGTTCTTGGGGGGCGATACCCCCACAAAGTCACAAAAACTTTTTGATGGTGTCAAACCGTCAAATTCATCACTTTTGATAGTCAAGTCCCAATTGCTCCTTCAGTGGGAACTTCAGGACCCTTTTCCATAGATTTTCCCTGAAAGTTTGGCCCTGAAATTTAGGCCTTGTATATGGTAGGGACCGTAGGTACATCTCGGTACCTCCAATTTAGGTCCCTGAAATGGCCATTGACCCGTGGTGAAATCATCCAAATGGCTCCAGCCATCGCCAAATGGCTCCAGCCGCACCTTCCTCTTCAAAGAAGTGCACGGAGCGTTCCACACCTGAGCGTTCCGAACTCGTCTGGTGCGACGATGTTCCTTTTGGGGACCCCAAAGCCTTGGAGAAACAGAGCCAAGATTTAAAAGGATTTCACGTATAAGTGATTTCAAGACAAAAGTTAGGATTTTTTCATGGTGACAAGTAAAAAAAACCTGAGACACGGCTTTGACCAACGCGCCAAATGTCTCTTGACCAACGCGCCAAATGTCATCGTGAATTCGTGGAGGCCCGGTGATGCCACTGTGTGAAACCAAGACCTTACCATTAAAGTCACTGAAGAGCCACGAGAAAATAGAAAATCGAGGCGTCATCGCTTAGAAAGAAGGATCTCATGAGATCAAAATACAGTATATAAATGTATATAAATGTATATAATATAATTACTGTTTGTTGAAAGGGTATCTGCGCTCAGCTCCCCGTTTTAGTTCAGATTTTCAACTAGCCCTAGCTCATGTTGCTCACCGAAAATCCATGGCAACTTTGGCTGCATACTCCTGCAAAAGGACAATCCAATATGCGGTTGTCGCAAAAATTGGAACCCCGTTTCATCTCAAGGTTCATTAATATGTTTCCCTCAAGATTGCCATTAATTGAGGTATCCTGGTATCCCCCATTTTCAGACACAGCCAAAGATCATGTTGTTGGGTGCATTTATCAAATTATATCATATCATATTCTATCGTATCATCATATCCATATATATATAATCTTATGCCCAGTATGACCCCCCTTATGGCTGCTTTAATCCCCCATTCTTGAGACCAACCCCGTATCAATCTGGCTGAACTTGAATACTCCCGTCACCCTATCGAAATGCTCCAATATATAAGTGTAAATCTCCTACTGAGCCATGGTTTCTTGGGGTTGTTGACTCCTTGGTGAGAACTGAATCCGAACAAGATCCACTGCTGGGGTTGTTGAAGGAAAGGGATTAATCAACCTGCCCAGCTCGGTCCTTTTGTGATGGGTCAAATTCCCCAGATTAATAGTATCACCAAAAGTTTTATATGAGATATATCTCAAAGTTCATGCTTGAAATCCGCATATTCGGCTAGTCAACTCCCTATTTCTGTTGGCTAAATCAGCCCTTTGATGCTAAAATCCATTATGTTAATGCTTAATCACACGCTTTTAACAATTAACACCATATTTCTTAATCATGAAAACCATACTTTGAATGATTAAAAACATTTAAAAACCATATGTTTCATGATGAAGTACCATTTTTTCTGGCTGAACTTCACTTCCCCTGGCGGCCAAGCAATGCCGGGCATCCCCCACTGGCGTTGCGTCGCGTGGAGTTCTTTAAGGCCAGGTCGCTGAACTCCTCGGCCTGGTATATGGGTTCTTCAAATGGGGGATCCCCAAGTCACCATGGGTTCTTCTTAGTCGACTTAGTCATACAAGAACAGTTCTAAGTATTACTAACCGCCAGGACTTTCACCGGAGCAAAAACCGAACCAGCCCCTTGATTTTTACTGCAAGGATAAGCCCATCCCCCTGCCATGCTGCCATGGTGAACGGGGGGGGCTTCTCATGGGATCTCATGGGTAAAATCCCACCAAAATGGGGACGATAGCCAACAAATGCCACTGCATTTGTAAAGACCCCCAATTTTTGGGACCCCGGTCCAATACGAAATCAGGGTTTCTAGGGGGTGGTATTTTAAGATTAGGGGTATCTATCTATCTATCTATCTATCTATCTATCTATATATATAGGCGCATATATATATAAGATTATATAAGGGGACATAATATATAAGAAACCAACTTGGGATAAGAAATCCAATCGGGAATATCAGCAATGGAATCAATGGACTGAAGGGAATTTTTCAACAGGAAACCATAAATTTTCCACCATTTTTCCCCCACGAGCCATGAAGATCTAGCCAACCAATTCATGTTTCAAATGGGGCCCCAAAAATGATTGGACAAAACTGATCCAGAATGGTAATTTTGAAAGGACACAAGTGATGAATGATGTTCAGTATATGGATTGTACAGCAGTTGAAAATCCTGCTGTGGAAAACTAGTGAACATGGGGATATACGGATATACATGAATGTATACATTTTACATCAAAAAATATCTGGATCTTGAAGTTGTTGCTTTTTCGATACTTCGCGATAGGAACTTCTCGGATGCTGCGGACTTAAGGGATCACCAGTCTGGCATTTTTCAAGCTCGAGAAGATCCATCAAGACCAAATTGCTGATCAATCAAAGGAACAAACCATCCAAAATCCAGATTTAAAATCAATTAGCCATTTCCTAAAGTAGAAGCTGAGTTTGTGTATATCTCCGGCAAAAGCAACTATCATGATCTTCTTTCTAATATAATGTGATTAAAACAATAATAACCCATCCGCAAAATCACCATAAATGGGTGGTATAAACCATCGAAAATGGGATGGTTTATTATTGTTTTAACCACATTATGCATAATCTTCTCGTGTTTCTTCATGGAAATCGGAATCTCGACGCAGATAGCAACTTCTTGGGATGGTGCTCAGCTACTCTGAAAATTGCCTCCCGAATCCATGGTTTAATCATCATAATGTTAGTAAATCAAGAGTAAATCACCCTTTTTTTGATACCAGGCATTTACTATTGTTTCGCTATTGTTTTACTAACAGTTATATACTGTGTATATATATATGATTGCTTTTCTAGCAATATGATGATTAAAAATATGATTGGTTTGAAAAAGCAGTTTGATGGCAAATGAATGCAAATGATTATATTCCTAACGTTTACTATTGCTCTACTAACATTTTTTAAAAAAAATAAACATTATAATCTTGGGGATGGTGAATCCTATTGTTTTCCCAACATTCCTCTGCATCCAACGACCCATCTCACCCAGCCGGTGAAAAACAACCGACGCCTGCGCCCCCGCTGCGGTTGGCAATCTCGCCTGCAGGTGATGTAACCAAATGAAATGGGACGATAAATGGTCGCAAACAAATGAGGACACCAAATCCACCAAATCAAAACAACATGGTCATCCTAATACGCAAAATTTCTAACAGCAATCAGTCCCAATGTGTCCCGATGCGGCATCCGGATGCGTTAAAGTTGTGTTACTCCTTTGTCCATGGACCTCAATAGTTTTTCCAACGCCAGATATTGTTTCAAGAGGCTGCAAGCAGCATGTCTCTCTGATTTCCTACATTGCTTATCAATCTGCCAAACAAATGTTTCCCGTTAATGAGCGGGTGGTAACATCCCAACGTGGCTTCAATGATTTTTTACCCAATGAATCCCTGTGTTTGCTGGGGGAAAAACAATGGAAACTTCTCCAGATTTTCCAATCCGAGTTGTTTATAAAGTTCATCCCATGTTGGTTGGCTGTATCTTACATATATGTACATATATATATATACACATATATAAATACATGATATATATGGAGAAATGTATATATATATACATACGTATGATATATATACATATACATATGATATATATATATACATATGATATATATATACATACGTATGATATATATATATACATATGATATATATATACATACATATGATATATATACATATGATATATATATATATATACATATGATATATATATATATACATACATATGATATATATATATATACATATGATATATATATATACATACATATGATATATATATACACATATGATATGTATATATATATATATACATATGATATATATATATATATATCATTATAAATCCAATTTTTCTTGGAAAATAATGCCACTCAGCATTTCTCACCTCGAGTTCTTCTAGCTTTAAAGGCACCTTGCTTCGCTCCTCTGGTGCTGTGGCGTTCAAAGAATGGCCTGGCTGGGCCGAAGACTGAAGGTATGGCCCAGAACTGAGACCCTACCCGGTCAGGTTTTAAAGGCAAGGATACCTTTTTCGGCTTTTTAGGGCCAACAAGTCTATGAATCCAAGCAAACCTGTGAGCGCACCAACCCGGTGAAAATAATTAGCATCCTGTGCTTAAATTCGGACAGAAACAATATCCCAAAAATATTTATCCATCCTTGTTTCAAAGATAACGACATGTATGGACTATATAAATATTTTTCATTAATGGTCTTTTGGCGGGTTCACATCAATCCAAGATCAATCAAACAATATCAGCCCCCAATAGATAGATTTTTATCCCCCTGCACAACCATTTTGTAAGGGACCCAGCAGTTAACCTTACAAAGATCCATGGTTTGGAGTTTATAAAATGGGTTGGGCAGGAGGCTTGGTGTGATTCCCCAGCAAACACCGGTGAATCCAAAAAAAAACAAAAATCGGCGCCTTACAAAATGCATGCCCCAAGTTTATTTCCAGGCCCCAAACCCAATCATCTTATAAGTTTGTGTCTTATAGAATGGTTGGTTTGGAAATATGTCTTACTATGTCTTACTTGTACATGTCCAACTTTCCCCGGGAAACCCCGCCGTTTTTTACAAAATGGCATGGTTGACCAGAAAAAAATCCTTACAAAATGCCTCCGTTTGTTACAAAAATGCCCCTGGAATGGAACATGGGTCAAGCCATTTCATAGTGGAAATACACACAGGGATAGATTTTTGGGATACAATTTGCAATTATCAGTTTGGTTGATGGGCAATGGTATCTAATAACGATTTTAACTACGCATCCAGGGTTGCCTTTCTTTGGGTTTCATGTGGTAAAAGGGACGTACCCCAAACATCCATGTTGCGACGTCTCAGTTCTTCGACATGTTCAGGACCTTTGGAAGCATTGGATCTACTTAATGAATCAAACACGAATGCGCATGCAATCATCAGGGGTAATCATATACAACCGTGATCTAATATGGTATATCATATATCATAGTAAAATATATAGTGTATATATAATCGTAGATTGTATAATCAAGACCACCCATTTGGGAATGGTTCAAAAACCATCTATTTATGGTGAAATTGGTGCCGTGCCTGCGGCTCCGCGTGCCTCCTTCGTTGCGCGAAGCGAAGCGAAGCGGGGGCATTGACCCTTTGGTTATTTAACGTAGCTGCGGAAATTCCCCTTTTTTTACAGGTAGATCATCATCATCATCATCATCATCATCATCATCATCATATGTATGTGTAAATGTAAATGTAAATGTATGTGCATATATATATAGTATATATAACTATATATATAGTATATATAACTATATATATAGTATATATAGTATATATAACTATATATGTGTATATCATCTACAAACGAGCCATTTTCCATATCTATGCTAAATTACCAGAGGGTAACCCGTAGTAGGTATATGCATCGTGGAATACATTGAGGATGTAATGTTGACATGTTAATGGAATTTAAGGAACCAAACAATTCCATCCCTCAAAAAATTAACATCTCCATGGTTTGGTCCCAAATATGGGGGATGGTTACTATTCGGGTAAAAGATGGTGAAAGGGTGCGTGAGTGTATATTGAGACATAATGGGTTTGTCAGAATTAATTTATGATCACAATCTATCAGGTCAGTGATAGCCACAAAGGAAAGATTTGATTAATAATGAGATATAATGGGATATGATGGAAAACAAAGGATGATCCAACACAAGTCGGGTTTATATAAAAGTTGGTGTCTGTAGCCAGTACAGCAAAGGTTTCTGCTAAATATCTCTATAGTTCCTGGAGTTTTATAAAAAAGAACAATTTGTAACTGGCGGAATATGTCATCAGGCTTGCTCCAACCAACGTATCTGATGTGTTGGGAGCCCTAAATCATGAAACTGATATGGCTATAGTGCTGAAATGGCTATGGTTCAATCTCCTTCCATAATAGCTATATGTTGGTTATAATTAATGGCCATAGCCATATTACAATATATTACAATGGGGTTATAATAGCCATACCCTGCTTATAGTGAATATCTTATGGGGTATGGCTATTATATTACTGCTGTGGTTCAAAATAGATCTTAAAACTGGATTTACCACACTATACGAACAGTAATTCCATAAATTTATCACATCAACTCTCTGAAATAATTGTGTGAACCAAGCCCACAAACACTGATCTGACTGGTCACACTGATCTGGGTGATCGTCCAAGTAACCCCAACCAATGGGGGTTTCCATAGTCATGGGGCTACCCCAATAGCTGGATGGTTTTTGTTGTGGAAAATCCCAACCTAAAATGGATGATCACTCGGGGTACCCCTATGACTTAGGAACCTCAGACATCGCATCAGCATTCGATTTTTTCAGTGCCGCGAGCCAGTGCGTCGCAGCGAGATCCGTTGCGAGCCAGTACCGGAGCTGCGTTGAAGTTCGCCACGGGCTTCCAGATCCACCTTTGTCATCCCAAGTGGTGGGGGGGGCTTGGGGATCATTGTATATATATATATATATCATTATATATATAATTATATATATGTATATTGTTATATTGATATGTTACATGGGTTAATAAAACTGGAATATGGGGATTCATCTAATTCAACTACAGAAACAACATAGGAAAGGTCGGCAATGGTTAGCACAATTTTAGGAATGGAGGTTACTTCTCTGCAACTTTTTTTGGGATCACTGAAACAAGATTCGAAGGTGGGGAAATTCACCAACAACATGCAAGTATTGAATGATATTGACACAATTTGACAAAATACCACTTTATGGAAAACTGGTTGGTGGTTTCAACCCCTCTGAAAAATATTAGTCAGTTGGGATGACTATTCCCAATATATGAACAAATAAAAAATGTTCCAAACCACCAACCAGAAAAGGTCGATTGGATGTGTTTGTCGAAATAGGAAGACCAATGTACCCATGTCCTGTCTCTTTTTGCCTTCGAAATCGGGGTTCTGTTTGGGATATGTTTGGGAAATAACGAACGAACATGTGGATGCTGTGATGTACCCCAAGAAAAGGTTGGATAGTTTCAAATAAAATGATAGAAAAAAGTATACTGTAGACTGTTTTCTTCACCGTCTCAACTCAGCTCAAAAAATGTGTGTGTTTCATTGTGGGTCATCATTCCATCTGTTGGGGGTAAAATGAGAACTTCCATCTTCGGAGAAACAGAAAACGGGAAACTGAAACATGTTTTCTAGTGTTGGTCTAGCAGGGATTGTCATCCCATTCTTGGGGACAAAAGTAAAACTGCTGGGTGGTTGATGGTTTCAAGCTCGTGAAGATATGCTCTGTCATGGGGGAGATCGTCATCCTAAAAATTCCCGTTGACATTGTGAAATACGAAACATGTTGAAACTAGCAACCAAATCCAACCAGTAAAAAAGATTGTTAAAACATGTTAAAACAGCCAACAAGCCACTTTGGTGTATCTCACATAATTCGTGAGACGACCTGGGATGCGGCTCGGGCCAAATGGTAGCCAATGGACATGGGAGAAAATTGAAGATACAACATGATACAACAACTCACGAGAAACATGTAAACTGACGAAGCTTAGTTATACAAAAAGTTGTCCCAAAAAATATCAAACTATTTCAGGGTCTGATTTGATGACAGCGGGAGAGCCATGGGTTTAGACTGTGGAGATTCACAGGTCCCATTGCATTGAAACCGCGAGAGTTGATGCAACACAAACACAGCCCTGAACACACAAAAAAAAGATCCTTCCAAGTCAGAAAAGGCACCCTTGGGAAAGAGAGGATGCGATTTGTAGCGTTCATTGGCTGAGTTCACCACATATTGCAATGCAACAGATCCATCCTGATCAGCCTTTTTTTTGATGCATTGAAGAATGTGGGCCCTCATGCAGTTGTATTGCTTCAGGTCCTGAACATGAGAGCACTCCTTGTCAGGAACCCTGGGCTGGAAAATCATAACTGTGCGAATCCTCAAAGAAGTTTGCGGGTTTGGGAATGAAGCTGTAGCCATCTCAACAGAGTAGTTTGTTTGTAGGGAATAGGTCCCAGTTCCACTGAAAATCCATCAATCAAGTTATACAAAAACTATCAAAAAATCCTAAATCCCCAAAGTCTGAACACACTGCAGATTCGACAGGTATGTGACATTCACCAAATAGCATGAAGAAGAGCTGCTTGCACGGTGCATCATCCGACCACCCCCCGGACAAAGATTCGCCAAAGTCGATGGGGATCATCATCCCAGGTACCCTCTGGTAATTTAACATAACTATAGAAAATCACCATTTCTAGTGGATTTTCCCATGAAAAATAGCGATTTTCCATAGTTCTGTTAGTTTACCAGATGGTATGGGGGAAAAAACGACCCACCAGACTCCATGGTCACCACATGTCACCTGCCAAGCATCCATGGTCCAGCCATCCATGCCATGCGGCCGAGTGGAGTTGAAGATCTGCACTCGTCCCTTTTGCCGTGCCAACTTGTCTGCAGCCCATGCTTTGGCGCTGACAGGTTTGTTGTAGGCCCCTGCATCTTTCTTCCCTTTTTTCCTTGGTTTTTCAAGTGAAATGAACCCATTAACCGCCTTCACCTGTGAAAGGTGGCAGTCCGGCAAGATTTCACCTGTTTATCCCGGAGCTTTCCCCGAGTTTTGATCTCAAATCCGTGTTGAAATTCCAAGTGGTGATGAAATCTGCAAAACCAGGTAACTATCGCCATATGGATCATATGAAGGTTTCCTAAAATGGGGTACCCCCAACTCATCCATGTTATTTTCGGATTTTCCATTCTAACCCACCCCATCCATTTTGGGGATCGGGATCCCCCATTGAAAGGGATTCAAAAGCCACCAGAAAATCAGCATGGCCGCCAAGCTTCGTCCTAGCGCTCTTTGTCGCGCCTTTCATCACTTTCATCGCTTTCATCGCCAGTCGCCGGGACGCAGGACGTTTGGTCACCATTGCAACGTCGCGCGCGCGTATTGAATCGCAGAATTTCAGGGGATTTTTTGTGGGTATGAACCAGGTTCATCGTGTCAATCAATGTCACTGAATGTCAATGAATGCCAATCAATGTCAATTAATGCAGCTATGGACCTGCATTTGGGTTTAGGTAGTGGTCGGAATTCATCAGTGAAGCCACCGAATGATTTTGATCCTTTTGTTTCACTTTCTGTGTTTTCTGCGCGTTGAATTGGAGCTACGGCCTTTTTTTTGTAGTCTCTTCTAGGACTGATTTTCAGCAATGATTTTCAGTGTTGCATGCATACATTCAACGTGTTTTTTTAAATTGTCTAATTCTTCCATATCCAATTCCCATGCATCTTTCAGGTGATGTCATTTCGCTTGAACTCTCGGCCTAGCCATGATTCCATGACAAGTCCAGCTGCGATCTGCGGCATTCCGGCCCAGCCAACCCACTGCGCGCTCCTGCTTCTTGGCTGCTGCATAACTCCTCTTCCAAGCTGCTGGATGAGGATTCCATCAATTCCATCATTCTATCAGCAATGTCTTGAGAAGGAAAAACCATGGGAAAATCCTCTGTAAATGGAGGTCTTGGGAAATCCTCTAGAGAAATTAGGGGGGTAAAAATCCATTGCAAAAAGTGTAGAAAAACCGGAGGATATTCACCAGGAAAAAGATGGAAACAAGCCGTTACCTGTTTCAGTTGACGCGCAAATAACTTAAGGTGCAACTGTTGGGTTTATGGGGGATATGACATGACATAACATGATATATGATATGATATATGGGGTGAGACTAAACCAACTTGTACATGACTTTGGGGCCTCACCTTGTATCTGCTGGCCATTTGGGGAGGATTTCCTATAGGAACCATCATCTTTGATGAGCTCAGATGGGGTCGCTCCAAATTACACTGATGAATGCATTTAAAGAAAACCAGCCAAACATCAATCCGTTCATCATGAATCTGGCTAATTGAGCTGTAAATTGATATGAATAGCTTACCCAGACATTGATATCATTGATCATATGATTTCCATTGGATCATTGTATCCAATTGATGCCCAGTACTATTCGTGACTATTCAAAAACCATCTGCGAGATCTGCGAGAAGAGACCTCTGCCCAAAACTACCCCGGTCAGTGGCATCAAAATGGAGTACCAGTGCACCAACCGACACATGTAGTGCTACCATCCCTCTCATTAATATAGACTCGTCAAATAAGGGGTTGGGAGACTACTTTCCTCTTGAATGGATGTATGATGTTACCCAGATATTAGTTCCATGAAAATTGATTGAAATCCATTAAAATTCCACTAAAATCCACTAAAATCCATAAAATTCCATTAAAATCCATATAAATCCCACATTTTCCTGGTTCCATCACCAGTCATAACCTCACTTACGGCTGCAAGACACCCTCCGCATCACAGTGTCCTGCAGAGGGAGTTGAAGCCTGTGGACGCCAAGACAAATGGCGCATTGGCGTTCCTGGGCATTGCAGGCAGATTGATAGGTGTTTCACCGAGAAAAGTTGGGATTTAAGCAGCAAAAAAAATACGGATTTGACATGATTTGACCAGCTTAAAAATATGGATTGATGTGGATTGCCAACAAAGATGTTTAAGATGCTGCAAGCCCTCCAAAGCAAAAAGGTCACCTAAGCTAAGGCCCCAGGCATGCGCCAAAAGATCTCCGCCCGCAGACCGTAGAAGATGTGCAGACACCAGTAGACCTGTGATGAGAAACGGGTTGTGCGGAAGGGAAAACCACGGAAAACCATGAAGAAACCAACAACAAAAAGCTGCAGGAGAAGCGGCGGTTCTTGCCAATTCAAGTCGATAAACATGGAGGTCTCCTGTAAATATTCCCTCTCACGTGGATTCTCAATCAGCTTGTCTTGCAGAACTCAGAAGCTGCTCTCCAAAATACTCGACTGGACTGTCGATGATGATCCTTTGAAGCGCTTTCATTGGTTTTTGATCTTACAACCATTACCAATTGATCTTACTTGTATGCATATGTATACACATTTACACACCGTACTTATATGATCTTGTTTAACCATGTATACAGGGATGGCATGCGAGTCCAAGCAGATCCGGCAATTTGGGATAGTCGCCGCATTCAGCATCATTTCCAGCGTCCCTTGACACCCTGATGAACTCGAGTCCTGGCCGAAAATGCCTACTAAACGCACTACACATTTAATCTATGATGATCTAAAGACATCAAATTCAGGGTTTCAACATGTCCAAAAACATATACATTATATCATATAATATCTACATGTCAACAGGTTTCCCTATTTTTTGGTAAAACTATCCATTCTATTACACATATTTTAGATGTCCCCACTGACTTTGTGGCCAAAAACAAAACTCGCCCTTTTCTGCTGCGGAAAACGCAGCAGTTTCCGCCCTTTTCGCCTCAGGATCTTCCTCCAAGAGTTGCTGTTCCGTCAACTCCTCCAGTGATCTGCTGCGGATGCGCTCGACGCAGACCTGACGTTCCGGGATGGTACACTCCCTCCCTTTATGTGTGGCTTATGCTAACAGATATGTAATAGTATATACACTAAAAGTAAATATTAATGGACATATATCTGTAAATATCAATGAACATTATATAATTATAGTCCCTGACAGATATGTCCGTTAATAGTTATATGGTATACACACTAAAGGTAAATAATTCTGCATAGTTTCATGCTAGGATCCCGGCCATTCCTGTCTCGGATCATCCCCATAGATATAGAACAAACTCATGCGTGTACAGACATATTATGATATATCCACATGTAATTAGTGATATTACTGCATTGCATAGATTGCAATATCTATATACTATACTTTGATATTATAGTACGTATACCTACAAATCATAAGATTATTACATGTAATATCATAGTATATATAGTACTGCTATACATTGAATAGTATGTATGTATATATATATATATTATGTACGCATGGAAGATTTAATATGATTTACCTACCCTGAGAAGCTCGGCCATTTTGGGTAAATTTTCCCTTTGCATAAAAACAATCATTTCCAGAGACTGTTCCGTGAAATCGTTGTAATTTATATACTGTGTATATATATGTATATATATATATATATGTATATATATATATGTATATATATATATGTATATATATATATATACATAATGATGATATATATATATATATTATACATATATTTATAAACATTATACTTATACATATATATATATACATATACATATATGTTTACAGTATCTCTGTATCTATCACTGGATCCACGGCACCTTGAGGTTCAACAAGTGGATCTGCATTGAAGAATCCCCAGTGGTGGAAATGCTCAACTCACTGTGGCTGCGATCGATGGGCGCCTGATGCGATCGATGGGAAAAATGGAAAAACCCGTGGGAAAAACCATGGGAAATTGGGGAAATGACGAAGAAACCAACGGAAAATTACATGAATAATGATAGTGATTAATATTGATTGTCATCTATCATCAATTTATAGATGTACTATTATCATCTATCAAGATCTTTGGGGGCTTCCAACTGGTGGGTTTAGTTCAAAAATCAGTAAGATTAAAAAATGGTATGTAAGCAGCAAAATATATATGGGGAATTCACCAGCAAACACTGGGGGTGATAATGAGTTTGTTAAAATCATCGTTACCCCATTTTGGGGTACCCAATTTTTGGACAAACCAATTTGTTGGTTCAAAAATGCCCTAGGTCAATGGAACATATTGCGGCCTTTGATTTCAAGACATGGATGGAACACCCAGAAATCACCTTTGCTTGCATCAAAACTCCTGGTTTGGAAGGGGAATTTGGTCGTTTCAAACGACTTGAACATCTGGGATGATCTTTTTTAAAGGCACCCACAAAGGCAAAAACAGTGCGAATGAAATTCCACAAATGCTGGATGAAGCGAAGAAGAAAGAAAATCAAAAAGCACTTTCAGCAATTCGCCTGGATTTGCAAAGCTATGATTCAGTGAAGCCATCAAAATCCCAGCAGATGGGTCCAAAATCAGCAGTTTGCAGCCAAAGGTAACCATCCTTTTCCGACCCCTCCCATCCCAGTTTTAGATACTCTGCATGGCTTTAATTCCATATCAAATTTCTTAGCTTGTATCGTGCAAATATATATATATATACATGGTAAGCTCCAAAAAAAGATAGAAAGGTGATTTTGGTATCTCGAGGATACTTTAGGATCATTTCCTAACTGGTAATTATAAAATATATATATATATATAGTTTTTTCCCTCCAGTAAGCAAACGTGGCAATAGAAAATCTATCTTTTTAGTTCGCTGATTTTCCCACTGAACCTCCATTTATAGGGGATGTTCCATTGCCACATTTGATTCCCGAGGGAAAATGATTGGAAGATTTTACTCTTGGGGCCGTTTCTCCGTTCTGAAGGAAACGCCGCCCGCCCGTGGCACCCTGGGAAGCCGCTTGCAGAGGGTCAAGGTGGGTTCGATCACCGATTGACACTTGGCACCTCGGCAGCTGTGCAGCTGTGCAGTGGTGGGATGAGAAAAAACACAGGGAAGATATGAAGTGAATATACATATTCAAATAGATGAAATATAGATGGAACAATATGGAAATGATGTTCTATGTTTAAGTGCCATCTGAAATATCAATTTGCATGTGGAATAATTCAGGAACTTAATGGAAGTAAAGGTATGCAATGGATATAATTCAGGCATGTACTGCAAGTAATTAAGGCATGGAAAGGAAATAATTGGTATTTAACTAACAACATGGCGAATGGCAATAGGACCAACCCTTGTCTATGATATCGTGCTGCATCTTCTGAGAGGTCTATCACTGTGTAGACTTGGAATGGTTGATGTTGACTTTTTCGTCCATACAGTAATTGTCTTGTATAATTTTGGTCTATACTTTTCCAATTTTTGAATGTATGGACTTGGAATGGCTTGGAGCAGGTCAGATTTGGCGATGTAGCTGTCAAGGAACATTGAATGCACGAGTGTCCCTGCTCGTTCCGGGTGTTACCTGCCGCGGGGGGTTAGAAAAAATGCTGCGGACAATGGCAATTCTTAGATCATCAGTGCATCTTTGCACATTCTTATCCATATACAATATATATATATACATATATATATATATATACATATTATGAATTGTAATCAATTATTGGATGTATATCCATAACTCCATAATTCTTGGATATTCATTCGAATTCGTCGGTATGTGAAATATGTTCTCATTCATTGCTCAAAACCAACCTGTTCACCTGCCTGACTGCCCGAAATAACTCACTGAGTTTGAGGTGTCTGTTTGCGGTGTCCTGCCATTTTTCCCTTTCAACCCATACTGATAAAGAAGTGCATGAACAGGTTTTTTTTCTATCAGCCAGACCAGAAAAAGAACACGTTACACCTTCAAAACCATTCCATCAATCTTGCCATCCTAAACAAAAATCCCTCCAACTTGCTTTGACATGGCCAAAAACTAAAGTTTATCACTTTATCATAGTTTTGCCATGTAGTGCTTTCCTAAAATAAGGGTACCCCGAAATCATCCATTTATAGATGGATTTTCCCTTATAAACCATCCATTTTGGGGTATCCCCATTTCTGGAAACCACCAAATAGCCATTTTGAGAGCGACAATTGATGTAATCTGCAGGAATTGGAGGTACCCCATTTTCAGACCCCATATCTAATGTCAAGCCTGGACAAAGAAAAAACCTTTACTAACTTTACTGGTTGGTGGTATACCTACCCCTGTGAAAAATATGAGTTCGTCAGTTGGGATGATGACATTCCCAATATATGAAAAGTCATAAAAGTCATGTTCCAAAGCACCAACCAGATCACCATCATATTCCCATTGTTGGTTTATAGCCTATAAACCACTATTAATATAACCACCAAATTTCCCATGTTTTCCCCATGAAAACATGCTTCGGCACCGAGGATTGACGCGCCGATGGCGTCCCAGATGGAGTTCAAGCATCCGCAGTGGCAGCGGCTTCGCGCTTCGCGCAGGCCGTGCACCTGACCTCCCAAAGCGACTTGGCGTGGAAGACTCGGTGGGAAAACACTCCGGGGATAGGAAAAATCCATCATTTTTAGATGAAAAACCCATCAAAACCTAGGAAAATCATAGATGATTATGATTAAAAACCCATGAAAATTGAGGAAAATAGAAAATTTTATAGACAACAAAAAAACAAATGCAAAAAAGGGGAAAAGAAAAACAAACAAGGAACTGATATATGATATGAGTAAAGGTGGCTGCCAAATTTCACCATAAAACAAGAAGAACAGCTAATTTGAAAATATGAAAACGAACATGGAAAACTGCTTGGTGGTTGAGCCATCCGTTTGAAATTCATATGGAATTGACTGGCCTATCGTCGTCATCATCATCATCGTCGTCGTCATCATCAGCATTCGCTTGTAAAGTTGAAAAGTAACCAAGTACTTGAAACCAGGCAACAGAATAGACTAAAACACCAACCAACCAGAAATTCTCCTGAAGGATTCACAGTTCCTGCAGTTCACATCCTGCGATTCATAAGCTAGATATGCCATTATTCGTTTCTTTCACTTCCCGATGGGAAATGTGATGATTTCATTACACTGTTTGTGTTTGCATGATATGTGTTCATAAGATTACAACTGGTTCACGATGAATCAGGAATACATCAGCATGTTTCTTGTCTGAAAACAACTGTAGATTGAGACGGAATGTGTTTCGCAAAGCACCAATTAGGTCTTCGGATGCAGTTGGGGTTATAAGTGGCCCAAGCTATGGAGGTTATCGCAATGCTTGTACCCACATCCAGAGAGGCTCCATCATCTCCCTCCCCCAAGAACAACGCAACGACATCCCGGGCTGTTCTTTTCCCTCCAAGTCTCTCTATGTACATACACATATATATATATATATAATTATAATTACCAATTATAGACTTTTAACTATACATAAATACACATATACGCAATATATATATATATAATATATGTTAAAAGTTGATCTATTGATCTGGGTAAATGATACTATGTCACTAATTAACCTGAAAAATATGCTGTGGGGATGATTTCCCCAGTTTGATATGTTGAGTTTTCCGTCAAGTCATGTGGGTGCCCCCTTGCATCCAAGGACCCAAGGAAAATGGATGACCACTAGGGATCCATGACTAAAAGAAACACCCATTTAACATCATTTAACATCTAGAATTTGGGAAATCATGGGAAATCCCAGAGAAATGGATGTTCAATAAAGTTACATAAATGTTTATAGCGAAAATCATCCAAATTTTCCTTCCACCAATGGTTCGATCACTGAGCATCCAACACGTGGCGCCCATCTCGAGGTGCGGCCCCTTGGGCCGCGGCTCTGCACCCACCTGCCCCGGCGACCCATTCTGATAGGGGCCTTAAATGGTCCCGTAACAGTGGGATCGACATAGGAAATCTGTCGAATTCTGCGGATAATGTGGTAAAATGTCTAGGACTTGATGGATAAATGGATTTTTGTGGATAATTCCCCCGTGGCTACCGCTTACATCCCTAGCCCTGCTCTGAAAAACGTGTTCCCAATACTAAAGGCTATTGATGCTATATGAATGAAATGTATGTACATACACAAATATAATTCCAATATTGACAATACTGTTTTGATATATATATATACACATACACATGCGTATCTCTCCCTATGGATCCAAGTACCTTCTTAGGAAATGTTTTGGGGTATAATTTAGGATATCATCAGTAAGTGTTTGGATCCATGGGGTGATGTCGGAGTAAAGCTTCGTAAGCTTCCCGGTCATCTTTCCCATGGCTCCCACCGAAACAAGCTGAGCCAGGAAGTTGGGCAAGCGTGGCTTCAAATGGTCCTGGCGAAGCTCCGCTCATTTGGGCTCCACCACCCCAATGAAAATGTGATTGAGTTAATGATGAATGGAATATATATAGTTTAAACATGTTTAAGCGAATCCTGAAAAGAATAAAACAATCGCGAACATGACATCATGGAAAATCATGTCTAGTCTTTCTAAGAAGTGTGTAAAACGAAACCACCCGGTTTCATCGTTGAGTCCTGGCTCGAGAGGTGGAAAATGAGGATTGAACTGGGATGAAGCGTGGATCCCTCTGGTAAACAAACAAAACAAATGGAAATCCATGGTTGTTTCCCGTTTGGAAAATGATGGACTTATGGACAACTATGATGGATTTCATGGATGTTCTTTCAAATCTATATATATATCATTTCATATACAGTATCTTAATTTACCGGAGGTATTGCTATATCGTGATACCCGCAAAAATGGAACAAGTTCAATATGCCACTCTTTTCCGGTAGGATTTTCCTGTTCTATCTTTTAGAGTTGGTATACAGCCAGAGAAACGTTAATGCAGATCTCTACCCGTCACAAGGAGGAATATCCAACAAAATTGCGACTTCCCCATGTTGGCTGAGACTTTTTCAAGGGATCTTGCAGAAACTAAGCAGTGGCCAAAACCCAAACTCCCAAATCTTCTACTTGGTTCGCAAGGTCTTTCAATCATTCTACTTTCAGTGGGTTACATTCTCCCTGTGTATATCTGTGTATCAACAGTACAAGCGCCCAGTAATCTAATGTCGGCTCCTGCTTGTTTTTGGATGCCGCATAGCCGTCCAGCCAGCTCACACTGGGCCCCTCCTCACCTGTATCCAAGTGATGGGGGGGGCAACGTCCCAGGCTGGTGCAAAGCCCAACTGTTGTAGGTCTATGGGCTACAAGGATTCTCCCCATATATCCTAAACATCACCAAATTTGGAACCATCCTATGCCGAAAAATCTCAGGACACCTTTGTGACCCTACAACCACGGCAGGAAATTCCATGGCGGTTGATCATCATTCTCGAATAGATATGGCCATTTTTGGCTATATATCCCCCTTTGTTGGACAAACCCATTTGGCGTTGTCTTTACCTGGTGACTCATCTCAGGAATCTTGAGTGGGTCATGACCCCAGTCATAAGAGGACTAAGTCGATTGACCCTGCTTACAAGTGAGGCTATAAGTCACTTACTAATCTTACTGAAGTTGAAAACTAATGATAATTATACTGAGTGGGGTGAGCCATCAAGTACAGTCCACTTTCTCCGGTGTGGGGCGCTTCCCAGACCTTCGTGTTTCCGTAGCAAGGACTGTAACTCCTGCTGGGATTGGTGGCCAGCAGACCCTCCTGCTTTTGGTCATGTTGGTCATGTCTGAGCATTTGAAGGATGACACAATCCAGCTTCAGAATCAGGAAAGTCGTTTTTTGAGGAGTACCTAATGTACCTAGATGAAAGTGAAGTCCGCAAGTGGTGAAAATGGGCTCATGTATCACAGTATGTGTGAGAAAAAAGTGATGGCCTGAACAATCTGCTCGTAAAGCAGATCATTTCGCACCATCAATGGTGGATATGGGAGGTCCAAAGTTTTGGAAGCCATGCTGGCGTGAATTTCATGCCTCTGTTCGTCTTCTGGTGATGCTATCCATTTCTCGCCGCTTAAAAATGTCCATCTTTTCTGCGATAAATCCCCATAATTAGTTTTCTTGATTCAACCATGTTCAATCCCAGATTATAAGTTGATATCCCAATACTATCCCATTATAATCCCGATATCCCCACACTATTCATCACTGTGCATTAATCTTTAACTTCCCATCTTTGCCGAAAAAAATCGAGGATTTCTTAATCAACTCCTCGAGGGCGCTGGGTATGGCCGCCAGAAAGTATTTGATGGCATCGGGAGGCAAATGCCGTGAGCCTCGGGTCACTCCATGGAAGAAACATCCGCCATGAGTTTGGAAGAGAAATCCGCCATGAGTTGGGAAGTGACTGGGAAGATCATCGAAAAAAATGGAATAGAATGTGGTATATCAATTAATTGGATATATAACCATCGATAATGAGTTTGGAGAACAAACCGTTTTTGATGGTGGAACCAATCCCCAATGACGACGTTATTTCAGAAGTGATTGGCCAGATGGGGCTATCATATGCTATCATGGCAATGTGTGTAAGTCATATTGGTAAAGGCGAACCCATCAGACTTCGGCTGGTGCAGTTGATTTGTTGACTTCAAATGAGACGTGCCACGCAACCACCTAGATGCAACTTCAAAAAAAATGAACATACACATACACCCCATCCAAGTTCGCAAGTGTCCCAAACCCAAAAATGCCGATGTCAATTCCCGATTTATAGATGTTCAGAGGTTGATGATGCTCAATGTCAACCCCGGAATAATGAACTGAGTGCTGGTTTCACCCTTTAAGAAAGATGCTCGTCGTTGATGTGTGCTATCCATACCCAACACATTTACACTAAAGGGGATCCAATGCCAAAATGATGCGATTTAAAAATAATCCCATGCCCACAATCATCATCCCAAATATCCAAATATATTATATTTCAAAAAGATTACGTATATATATAAATCCCCATGTATTCATAGTGAAAAAATGCACTTTCTATCTTTATCTGGGGGTTGACTATGAGGGGTTTGTTACTACCGGATGGACCACTTGAGCTATTTCTTAAAAATGGTTCCATCTCATGAAATACTCGCTGGTTTATAGGTTTCCCATTCACATGGTGACATGGATTAGTTGGTTTCTAATCCCCAACAACCAGGATCAACCAGGTAGTACAACAGCTTATCAGAACTAAGAAAAACATTGCTACTTTTCATGGCTCGCATAACTACTAACAATATCTAACAATAGGTTGGTTGATAACTTTATGTCACCAGTTCGATATATCCCCTAAGAAATCCCAACGGTTCTTCTAGTTGTGTTCCCTAAGTGGCTGTGTTATCATAAATCACACATAAAAATCCCATATAAATCCCACATAGATCCCATCTCAATCCCAGCTAAACCACGACATGATTTGCCCGGATCCAGGCTGCTATGATCAGCACCCAGGCATCGGCCCAACCTGAGATCGGGCTGGAAAAAAAGGCCTTGGAAGATTCGTTTCTACGGAAAAAGTGGCGAGAAAATCAGGGTCTGTGTTGCTTTACAAGAGGCTATCTGTATATATATATGTATATACACGACTTATATGATATGTGTATAACCTATTATTCAATATGATTTTCTGGAATATATTGGGGGTTGTTCCAAAAACTTGGGGATTCTAAACATGTTGTACCACCAATTTATTGCCATTTCAATGGTGGAAATCGCATGAAAAACAATCAAAATTGAGGTGTTCCCAAGATTTTCCAGACAAACCCGTCTTTGGCCTCTGGGAAACCAACAGGGAAGGTGCTGAAAGAGAAGGAAGTGAAGTCAATTTTGCCGTTGCACAAATTTGAATGTATTCAAATGACGGGAAGGTCACCAACCAAAATGGGGAGACAGAATGTTGGGTGGAACCAGCAAAAGGGTGATGCAACCAGCAAACAAAGCGCTGCCTCTGGCTGGGGTCATCGTGCTGCATGTACAAAATCATCGGCATCTCTTGAACGGGATGGATTGATCTATTGATCTAGTGATGTGTCAAGGTAAGTATCAGCAAAATGGATGGTCCTATCATGAAATGACCAAAATAGGTGGATTGGAAAATCTTGCATTTGCCAGGAACGCCCATTTCGTGCCCTTTACTGCTGGTACAAACAACAACGGATGTTGACCCCTAGCAACTCAATTTCAACTATCTGCCTTTTTCCATCCTTTTCCCTAGCGGAAGAGATGTCCGAGTTTGCACAAATTCGAACTATTTGTTTAAAATCAAAAACAGCCACAAAATGGATGATGCGGCCCCAGACTCAACTTCCGCGTGTTCTTTTCTCCCACCAGTCACTGCCAGTCACCCCTTGTTTCTCACGTCAAAGTGACGAATGTGGCGTGATCTGCGGGAGTTTCAAGGAGACAGATCTGATCGCACGGTGCAGGATAAGGGCATAGTGTGGGTAGTATCCCCGGGTAGATTAATGGGTGGTATATGGAATAGAACCCCCTTACGATTTCTGGGATGCACATCCAAGCGTGACATGAAAAACTGGTGCTGAACTAACATGGGGATACAGACAACAAGATTCGATCATCATCTCAATATCTACATCACCAATACCTGTATAAATCATAGCTCATATCAATACCAGTACATGACCCATGGAGGCCTATAATGATTTGCCGGAGTCAAACCATGATGGACGGATGATAGAAATACCCACCTTTGACGCAAGTTAAACCATGGATTTTAGTAGATTCGCTGTATCAATCATCGACAAGTTTGTATTTAATCAAAATCAGCGGGGCGATCATCAGGAATCATGCAGGTAAATCGAGTAACCAACAATTTACATGTGAGGCCGGTCAAAACACCCAACAAATGGAGGATGGTTGGCTGAGTGCTACTGCGAATTCCTCGTCTTAGTATATCAACCACTCTAAATCTGGTTTATGTCAATCTGTGGATTGGACTGTTGGGGGCCGTCCTCAAAAATAACCAGTACCCATATCTTCCAAATGCAGAAGTAAACGACAAATCAAAAAATCAGCAAACGCAATCTAAGCCCTTCCCCCTGATCTTGAACACCCCTTCATTGATGCAAATTTGGGACCATCTAGGGGGTGTTTAATATCAGAGGGGTGAGATTATATGAATACATACTTACACGTCAGATATGCATTCTGGGAGAAGTTGCTGTTTTCTCAAGGACCGAGAGATTGAGTTCTGCAGTTTCCCCTACTTGGATATCTGGGGATAAATATTAATATGATCAACGAATCAATGATCAGGCTAAAGCTCTTCGGGCTCAATTTCCTCCACTCTCAGGGACCAATCATCAATGTGCAGCTTCAGGCCGCCCGTTTTTTCCATCATCCATTGGGCACACTCCGAGATCCCGTCTTGACCTCTGCCTCAACGTGACTTGCCTTGGCATGACTTCCATTCACAGCTCGCTCAACAGCCCCGATCGCAGGCCGAATGAGTCCGTTCACTTTGGGCGCTACCAGATCAACATGGACCACCTGGTGAACCGGACCGGTCAGGGTGCAAGAAATTGTTGCATTTCATCTTGGGGCAAAAAAACATTCCTTGGGGAAACAAAAACATCTTGTTGAAAGCACCAAGCTCGCCCCCTATTATTGACAACCTGCGAAATCTAACCTTTTAGGGGCTCAACGCCTCATTTTTCACCAACAGTGCCTTGGTCTCGTCCCACTTCAACGGCTTACCCCCCGGCACTGCAGGTCGAATCAGCGGCGCAGGCAGTGGTCGTGGCGGCCGCAGCAGCAGTGTCGACCCGTCCTTTGACGTCGGTGCCGTTGGTCGCGCGGGGCGTAGCAGCGGTGCTGCTGGCAGCAGCGGTGCTGCTGGCAGCGAGCCCTTGGGGTGTGCCTTCAGCGGTGGCGGTGAAGTCTTAACAGCAGTCTTCAGGGGCTGTGGCAGCGATGCTTTGGGCCGCGCTTTGGGAGGTGGCACTTTGACTGCCGCACAAGGCCCCGGAGCCGCTTTCTCTTTGGCTTTCTCTTCAGCTTTCTCTTCCGCCTTCTCTTCGGCTTTCTCTTCGGCTTTCTCTTCGGCTGTCACTTCGGCTGTCACTTTGGTGGGAGGTGGTACGGGTACGGGTGCTGCCTTGGGTGAAGCTTCGGACTTTGGCTTCTGCAAGGCACTGGAAGGTTCACTCTGCAAAGCGCTGGCAGGTCGAGTGGGGAAGCCCTTGGCTCTGCTGGGCATGCTTTTTGGACTAGGTGCACTGGGTGCGGGGGCACTGGGCACGCTGGGTGCAGTGGGCACAGTGGGCGCAGTGGGTAAACTGGGTGCAGTGGGCGCACTGGGTCCAGTGGGAACACTGGGCATGCTGGGTGCACTGGGCGCGCTGCTCCTCCATGGTGGAGGCGGTCGAGCTGGTGCTTTCGCTGGGGCGTCAGGTTTCTCCTCAACCTCCTCCATTGTTCCAACATGGGCCTCCAAAACCAGCAATACCCAATGGCCCAAGAAGCAGACAATGTTGTGCCATGCGTTCGCTAGATTCTTTCCAGAGCACGGATGGTTCACCGTTTTGACACCCCGCCATTCTCTGCTTTCCGTCCCTCTTCTATGGTTTCAAATCTCCACAAGGTTACTCTTGTCTTAGCTTGTCAAAATGCCTACGGTACTCTTTCGATGGACCCCCCCATTTATAGATGATTTCTCTTATGGAAAATAGAGCATTAAGTATTCCCATTGTCATGTTTGATTACCAGAAAGCATCCCCCCATGCCACGTTTGATTACCAAACTGCAGCCCCCGCATGTTTGATGGTTTAAACATATTTTGATGTAGAAATCAATTTGTTTGATACTTAGATCCCCTTTCTTGCTGGTCATACACATTTGTTTCTTCCTCAAAATCCCCGAACCCTGTCCTCCATCTGCTCCTGTTCATCACGGCCCTTCATGAACTTCACAGCTTCCCTGAACTGCTGCACTGTCTTTCCCTTCTCCTTCCTGGGAGGTGGAAGCCCCTAGAGAGTGAACAGTCTGTCAAGAAAATCGCCATGAAATAAGAGGTAAATCATCTGCACATGGACCATTTTCCATAGCAAACTGTTGAATTGCCAGAAAGTAAATCTCACCATAATTCCCAATAATTCCTAACATCATTGGGAGTGTGGAGGATCCCTATGGTAAAATTGGTGCCTTGTAGATGATTTTCCCAGCTAGACACCTGCATTTATGGTAAATTGTCCCGAACGCCAAGTTGAAGTACTAGGGGCCAAATCATCTGAACTGGTCATTCGCTTGGTTTCTTTGATTTATTTCTCTCTAAAGTGTGTGAATCCATGTACGGAAATGATCTAGTCATGTAATGTTATGTGAATATGTATGTACAATGATGATTTCTAATAGCTATGTAAATATGTGTGAGTGTGTGTGATCACCAGTGTGTGTTTGTTGAAATCCTGATCTGGTTGATCATTGCCCACTGATATTGCGGATCCTCCTCCATCAAAATGCACAGATGTTCAAGACGGACAACAAGATTCGTGGATTCTACTTAAGGTATGACCTGCCCATATATGTATTAATACATATATATATATATAATATAATCATATAATCATTAAAAAAATATTGTTATACATGTATACGTATATTGTACATCTCTCCAATATTTCTAGGTTTCAACCCATCCGCAAATGATCATTTGGAATCATCTAGGCTCAAAAGAAGAAAACAAACCCCCCTAGACACCTCCAGCCCTCGACGACAAATGGTTCGCCGGCAGGTGCCCCCTAGTCATAAGATGTCATAAGTTGGTTGATTGACCCACTTAACCCATCCAACTATACTATAATTGGAATCACATAAACCCTAGTTTATCTAGTTACAAACCAACCCAACTCTGATGCACCACTTTGCTTGGCTCAATCTCATATGTCCATCGGGAAAAGGATTATGAACCAGTGGATATTCGGGCATGTGGGATTTAAGCAAACCCCACGTATCTATCTATCTATCTATCTAATCTATTCTAATCTAATCTATTCTCATCTAATCTATCTATCCATCTACAGTATCTATCTATCTACAGTATCTACAGTATCTACAGTATCTACAGTATCTACAGTATCTATCTATCTATCTATCTACCTACCTACCGACGCTACCTGCTGGTAACTTAATATAGCTGTGGAAAATCAACATGTCTTAAAAGGGTAAATGCTCGAACGCGATGGGCAATTTTCCATAGCAAACTGTTCAAATACCAGATGGTCTATTCCCACTACATATTATCCCGATTATCCCAATGATATCCCTGTACAATCCTATTTGGACTGGTTGTATGTATCCATATCCCCATAAGTTGGCTTTAAAGCAATTGAGTTGGTTATGTCACAGCTATATCCCAGTTCTATCCCCATGATTCACCACCCAGGTGCTGCGAAGCCAGTGCCACACACATCAAAGCCTCCTGCAAGGTGGCCTCGCAGCAGTTCCCGGTGGATTTCCAAGGTTTTCCGCTGATCTGTAAGGATTTCTGATTTCTGGTGGTTTTGTAAGGATTTCTGGGTTTCTGGTGACGGTAGGGATTTCTATTGGGTTTCTGGGGACTTGTGGAGATTTGTGGTGATTTGTCGGGATTCTTGGCCATTTCTGGGGATTGATCAAACTTTGTAAACAATATAATGGGTATCTCAACGGGATGTTATTGGTATAATGTGTATTTAAGAATGAACAATGGAACTGATTTGGTATTGAACCAACTGGGGAGTTAACCAATCATCATGGCGACATAACAAATTAGATTCGGAATATCACTCATATTTAAGGGCGTGGTTTGAGGCAACAGCTGATTTCTCTGCGAAGCACTGGATATGTCAGGGGTATTTACAACCAACAAGTAAAGGGATTTAAGCATCTAAAATGGTGATAACTATCTGAAGCCATATAAACAATAAACAGATACCCCTAAAATCCAAATGTTTAAAACCTCATTCTTGTTAGTCAAACTTGCCATTTTGAAGGCACACAAGTTATTTTCAGGCATGCCCAGGGATTTTCCAGGCGCGATGTTGGATCTGCAGGATTGATACCAGACGTTTTACCCATAGCCAGTTGAATCCAGTTGAGTATGTTGATTCCTACTAGCGGCTAGCGTAGTCTTGTTATTTTATATATTTATTTTAATTATATATACTATATACTATATATATATTTTTTTTATTTTGTCTGGAAAAATCGTTTCAGAGTAACGATCATACCCGAAATCCAACCATCCCCGCATGGGGGTTGAAACGATGGCATCCGGGTGGAAACGTAAATTCCACCGCCTATCCGAGCCAAAGAGCAGACCTACTACCCGACTGATGCGCAGCAGTTCTATATATATATACTCAATAGTTATAGATATATATATATATAATTATATATATATACTGTATATACATATGTATATATATATATGTCTAATGTATATATATATCTATCTATCTATCTCTCTCTCTCTCTCTCTCTGTGTCTCAGGAAAAAAAACAGACATTTTCCAGCTCCTCCCGCCGCCTGGAAATTCCGATAACTCTGCTCGCCACAGATCCGTAGATCCTCCCCCAGGTGTTCACCAAAAATAAGGACTTCACCACTTTAACCAGCCCAAAATGTGGACTTGAGTCACAATAACCATCAAACATGGGGATTTCAGCCAGCCAAAATGCTGAGATTGAAGCATCAATCGTGGGGAGTCTAACCTTCAAAGTTTGTATCAACAAGCCTGGTACTTGGGTTGTCGTACGTGGGTCATACGTTCATGTAATATATATATATATGTTTTTTAACGGTTGATACAAATTATACGTATACTCCCCTGGAACCCAGTTGTGAAAATTGATTGAAATGATGGCTTAATCATCCCAAGCAGGGGTAATGTGGGTTCCACTAGCCGGACCCTGCGGAATGGCAGTCGCCGAACTATCTCCACGACACGCAAAAAGGCAACCCAACCTTTTGCTTTGACATTGAACATCGGCTGCCATGCTAGCCAGGTGGAGATGTGGACATGGGAGCTAACATACCAATGGAAATGGAATCCAAGGTCAAGGTGATTTCAGCTGAACTCAGGCTACCGAAAAATCAGGGATATCCCAAAATTGCCATTTTCATGACAAGAAATAAGATGGTCAACACATTTAGGAGTTATGACAGTTGTGAGTACCTTATTTTTAGACAAATCCATGTATTTTTTCCAATGAGTTTGTTGCTTTGTCCTGCAGCTACGTTATAACCTGTGTTTCCCACCCGTGATCCCGGATCCGAATGCATCCCCCAACCTCCAGCAGTGGCATAAGTTCCATTCGATCGTGCTGCATCAGCAGAAAACCGATGGCAGCCTGTGAGCTTCAGCCGAATGTACCCCACTCAGAATCTGTTTCATCAAGGGCTTACAGGGACAAAATCAAGCAGAAATAATCAAAAGACCAATCAATTTTTGTGAGCACAAAGCTCGAGGTTCTTTTATTCCGAGTGTGTTCCCAGTATTGGTTGAATCACCAGTTTGGTGACCATTCCATGCTCTCCGTCATGATCCCCATGAAGCTCCCAACGCCGCTCGAAGCAGCCCTAGCAATCCTTCGCCAGATCACAATGTGACCTCATTTTAACCCTAGTGTTAAAAAAGATTTAGGAGATAAGATAAATTTCCTGTAAAACCAAAATATATTGTGTGCGCGTGCGTGTAAGTATAAATATAAATATATATATATATTGTATGTGAATAATTAGCGGACAAAACTATATGTTAAACTTAATGCCATGCACAAATTAAGGTCGTCCCCCATCGCTTCTGAGGATTTCAGTATTCCCCCTTTTAGGATACCCCCAGCCAAATCCCATCATTCATCGTTCCGTTGCCATGAAGCGTGTGGATGCCGGTTGGACGGCAGCGACAAACGGAAGGGGCCGCATTCACAGCCATCCTGGTCAAAATTGCTGCAAAAATCTTATGATGTTCCGGGCAAACCAAAATCTATAGTAAGTTTTGACAGATTTTCAGGAGGTGCATGGGATTTGGAAACACAGTTTGTAATGATTGTCAATGTTTCTGTGGTTTGGGCGGTGTTGGGCCCCCATATCTATGAAATCGAAGTGAATGGCATGGCCACCACTCCAAGGGCTTTACTCTTGAAAAGAGTTGGTCTAAACTCACCAACTTGTGAAGACATTTGAAGACCTTGAAAACATCAGTTCGGGGTATGAATGAAGAACACATGTTCAAATCACATGGAGTCCCAGGCCAAAGTGGGTAGTGATTTGGGTACCAAAAACCAATGGGCAAATTCACCATGTATGGATTGGGGATGGATTTATTTGCCTGGCATCACGAAAATCTTTCAAAACTGACCAGATTTTGTTTTTCCGCCTCCAAACTCCACGCACCTCCCAAAAGAGGAACCTAACACATTTTGTACTCCACAGTGTGACAAAATGAATCAGAATAGTATAGGCATTCATCGAGCAGGAGGGCTTTAGGGTATCTGAAACAGTCGTTGAAAAAATTGAAGCGCCATGGAAAAAAACAGTTTTGAGGAAAAAAACTGGATAGGTACATTTGATTGAAGGGATCGCTTGCCACTTCACTAACTGCTTATTGCAACTTGCCTTTTAAAACTTAAGTTGGCAAGAACAATATAGTGTAATTACTCGTAATCACCACTTGTCTCCACTTGTGGTTTGAGCCTTAATTATTTGCACAACAATATGTGAAACAAGTGGATTTGTCGTTCATTTCCACCCTAGAAGCATCGTGAAATGCTCTCAACATTTTCTGGCCTGACCCAGAAATTTCTCAAAACTCTCAAAAGTTCATGTTTTCTCAAATGTTCACCTTGGAAAAGGCGGCCGAATTAAATTGGGAAGGCAGGATTTTCTGAAATGTCTCAAAACTTCACTTCAAAATGTCTCAAAATTCCATGTTGTGACGTTTATAATTACTCATTTTCTACATTTAATCGGTTGTTTTCTCAGCTTTCCTGATGATGTGTTCCCTTGTCTTTGTTTGCTGTGCTTTTAGCATAATCTTGTTCATTTTTTCAGTTTGATTTGGATTCTGGGGTTGTGAATTTGAAAGGTGTGGTGTGTTTTTTTTTGGGTTGTGTTTTCACTCAAAGATGACTGATTTGTACCACCTGTCAATGCCAATGTTTGGTTCAATGGGCTCAATATTGAAAGCACTTGCAACGTGCCACTTGATCACTGGAACGTATTCCCTGCACTTGGCCTTCATTGCTTGGTCATTACCTCTCCTAAATGTTCTCATTTTTGTTCACTGTTTTTCATTTTTTCAATATGTTGTTTTTTGAATTTTGGGCATTTGGGTCAAACACTCTCTCCAGTACATTTTTTTCACTTACGTAACTTATACCATGTGGATCATTCTTGCGAAAAAAACAAATTTACTTTTAACTGCACCTAAACCAACCAATTTGTCGATTTCCTTAAATACATATATAGTTCACACGATGATCATTCCGTCAAATTACAATTCCCATTCACCAGTCGCCCATATTCGCCCATGGGTTTTACCACGTCCTCAACCATGCAAGCCGTTTGCAATCTCTCCAAATCTCTGCTGGCAGCATTGGATCCGGCCAACACGACCACCACATGACGGATCTCCGGCATGTCGTGCTTGAAGAAAGGCATATTGACGCCCAAGGGGATCACTGGGACGCCATCCTGCGTTGGTCAGGGAACTATTTGATTTATAATTTACTATATCCTGAAGCTATATTTGCAAGAATCAGTTCGCGCACGCACGTTCACCACCATCTGTTGGAGCACATTTTTCTATTCAAGGCATCATTGCATGTTTGAACTGTTGATTTTGAATGAAACCGCATGTTTCAAGTGTTCATTTGGAATGAAAACCAGATTCATTTATACATGCCCAGGTCAAAAAAAATGTTACGGCAACAATTTTTGGGCAGCTGCACGCCTGTTTCAACCAATGACGGTTTGCAAAACACAAGGCTAGAATACAACAGCAAAAACCCCATTGTTGCAAAACCGTTCCTACTATTTACAACCCCATACGAACCTGTGGTCGCTCAAGCTGCGCACGCACAATTTCGACAAAACAAAAAACACGGTGCCAGTTTGCAAATTCGATTGTCCTCGTGCACCACGACCAAAGCTGTTTTTCCATGTTCGGCATCAGCAAGCTGACGCACTTGGCGCACGAATCTGCTCAACCATGCGGCAGCGCTGTCAACCTGCCAAATTTTGGGGGATGTTTTCTTGGCTGACACAAACATGGCAATTTCTCAGTTGGCATTTTGGCTGGTGGCCAAACACATGGCCACTAGTCCACCATAGACTGCAGACATCAATGCAACACAAAACAATGCAGTTTTTTCACGCGCGTCCGCAGCAGGTGCTGCAGGAAAGCCAGAAACAGCCAAAGAGATTTCTCCATGACACCCGCATCATGAAAACAAATGGCCCAAAAAGAAGCTTCACACATATGTGGCCAAATATGTTCCAACTCGGGCCTTTTATCCATCTCCACACATGATCTTTTTTCTTGAGAGACAAGCGCAGCTACACGGCACATCGGCCGTGCAGGTTGTCAAATGAGGGGGGTGAAACATGACACCGTCAACGTCACCAAGAAAGGCGTCATCACGCTGTCAAACTCGCTCAAAGTTTTGGAGCCCCCTTGTGGCCTGCGGAGGCCTGTGTCAGCACCAGTCACCCGCAGGGTGAATGAGGAGCAGTCTTGAGGAGGCCAAGTGAACACTGCAAAGGGGGCTATGCTTGTCGACCTGGTCACATGGTCTGCCTGGTCGACCTGCACGGCAGACTGCTGCCACCCCTGACATGTGGTTCCGTGTAAAGCAAGAGACAGAGCAGCAGCGAACACCACCACGACCACGCCCAACAAATCCGCCACCACCACCGCAAGCGCAAGCACAACAGGACAACAGCGGTGGGGGTGACACGCGGAAACAGCAACAGCAGGTGGAGGAATTCCCGCACTTGCACTTGCAAGGGCATGACTGCAAGGGGCAAGAAGAACAAACGCTGCATGCCTACTCATGAGGAGACGGAGACGGAAACAGAATGCACCGAAAAAGGCCGATGGTCTCGCCAAGTGCTGAAACGTGTCTCACGATGCGCTCACTATCGGGTCTATGCAACAAACGGCAAAGACATCAATGAAGAATGGCTGGGCGTACTGTTTTCAAAGCACAGTGGCAGCCCAAGCACGCCAGAACGCCCACTGATCCTCACAATCACCACAGGCCAAGGAGATTAAAACCCACAACACGAACATGATTGGCACGCCTGCTATGGGAAGCCCTGGGAATTCAACTTGCGCGGCTTGTGGTTTAGTGGTGGAAGTCGCTGCAATGCTGGCTTGGCCAGGTTTGATCCCCTACTTAGCATCTGACTGCATCGCAAGAATGATGTCACACTAACTAGGTGAATCCATGCTCCCTGTGGGCACCTGCACATTGCTTAACTTGTTTCTGAGTGTCAGAAGCTGCTGGCCGCATAGTGCCAAAGCTGAGTTTGGCCAAAAGTAGCCACAATATGGTAATTAACGGCAGCTTCTGTCTAATTACCTTACGCCCTCGAGCGAAATAACCATGGACCATGACCTGGGCAATCACCAAAACTTGCTGCCATCATGGAACGAAAGCCCGACAATGAACAGAACCTATCTCAATGATCCCGGCCTTCAGCCCTTCCAGTCGACCAAGCAGCGAGGGACGACAGCACTCTGAAAGGTGCACCTGAGCACGCCACAAATCAGCAACACAGGGTGCTCATGCTGCTGGAAGCAATGGGCTTACCGGGGTCTGCGTGCACCTGAGCATTCCCGTGCAGCCCCTCCATGCGGAGCTTGTCAGATGTGAAGCGGACAGAATCTCCAAGAATATTTGCCAAGGTGACGCCCTTCACGATGGCAACTTCAATTCGCAGAGTGTTCTGCCAAATCCTCAATACATGCGAACGCATGGACTTTGCCCAACCCATCAATGACTTCATCTTTCCATACAACCCTCGGAAACACAAGCAATAAACCTTTCAATGCGCATGGCAACATATCCTTCAAGGCGGACAACCTCTCAAAGAATGTTTCAATTGCTCTTGGAGCGCGTCACAGGCTTCACGCAAGTCCATCAAATTATGGCATGACATGGGCCTGAAGGTCACGTTGTTCCCAATGCCTGCCACAAACAATGGAGTGCTCCGTGAATCTTGGGGACTCGTATGGGAAGAAAGAAGTTCTGAAAATTGTTGAATGCAAAATCGGACCGGGCAACCCATTGCTGCCTCAGAGGACTCGAGATGCATGGTATACACTTCCTCTCAGAGCAGAAGCCGGGACCCATTGGTTATGTGTGCTTCTGCAGACGAATGACCACTATGATGCTGCCAGAGGTCCTCCGTATGAAATCAACGTGTTTGTCCTAGGTAGCCAAGTGGAGTTCATCACCTGCCCTCCGCAGGATCATGGGATACCGGCATTGCCTCACATTAGATCACAGTACGCACACGCACGCGTAGGCGTTCGTAAATACATAGATACATAGGTGGGTAGCTGGATAGCTAGAGGTAGACAGACAGATTGGTACATAGCTGCGTGCAAACATGGATACACAAGTACACAGGCACACCAAGTCGAACACCCACATAGGTACATAGGTACATGGATAAATAGACATGATTAAAACATACATCGGCATGTACCGGCTGGCAAGCAGGCAAACAAACTGAGAGGCAGAAATTTATACGACATACATACATGTGTAGAGGCAGGGAGACAAACACAAACAAACACACATACAAACATAAATACGTAGGTACATGGATACATGCATGCACCTGTGCCCAAGGATGCTCATGTGTACGCACGTATATATTTAATATCAATTGAAAAACATATGGCCTGACACAGCGAAACCAATATAACAGAACAAAAGACGACAAGACACAACAAAACACGACAGAATGAAACAAGACACAGCACAACATAGCATTGCAAAAAGGTTCTGTCAGTGAAAATTAAGGGCTTCGCAGCACCGTGTGCTAAAGTTGAACCACGAACTGCACCGTAGCCCCCGAAAACACGCGCAAATAAGATGTTTGACAGGCCCGAAGGTGCAAAAAGCATCACTTGAAGCCCCAACGTGCAGCGACAATGGCACATTGCAACAACTGGGCAAGCTCAGTTCGGAGAACACAAGGGCTGTATGTCGCTGAACACCATGCACCTGATTCTGCATGATCACTCTCTTGGCAAATGCAGTTGCCATGCTCTGCCCGACTTGATTCTCACCACTGCGCGCCATGTAGCTCAGGGAGGACTAGTTGGTCTCTTCGGGGACAGAAGGCTCATTGTGAATCTCAGCAAAGCGTCTTTCAGCCAGTTCACGACGCCTAATGAGCAACGGCCGCAATGGCGCTTCCAAACTCTCTGAGATGAACCTTCCAAAACACGAAAGGAATTTGTGGAGCAGGAACCCCAACAACCGCAATCACGGGCCTTTCAGTCGTCGATGGTAGCTATCGCCACAATCCCCCTTTTACCTCCTCTGACCACTGCTACTGGTTGCAACACCCTCTCCTCTTCACTGACTCCAGGTGCTGATCTGCTTCGATGCATACACAGCCCTTACTCTTGCTCTTGCTCTCGAGGTAAATGGTTCAGCTAGGCGCTCTCTTACCCAAACTTACTTTGCAAGCTCAGGGAGGCCCAGGCAAAATGCCTATCTAGCTCTGATGATTCTGTTCACCTGCTACTGCTATGGACTGATGCACTGAACTCTATGGAGTGATGCGGTGCACAATGCAAATGATTCCAAGCTTGTTTCTGTTTAGGCTAGGCGCTCAAGCTCAAAGTCCTGTGGGGGCTGAGGTGAGCTGGAAGCAAAAGGCCGATCTAGACCCGTTCCAATGTGAGGTCTCTGACAAACACTTGATGCAATTGGAGTTTGTTTCAGTAAGACCAATCAAAGCAAAGACTGGCAGTTGGCAATGGCTGGTGGCACATGGTACACCCACGACAGCAAGCAACACATGGCCAGGCCTCGTCACTTCCACTCCAGCCCCATTGAATCTCTTGCTCGAGATCTCTGTCCCTGAACCAATCATGGCTGCAGGAGGACAATGCAGTTGCGATTGATCTTCAAGGTCTGCTTTGTCCCCGGGCTACATAATCAAAATCGATCTCCAATCAGCAGGGAAGCAACGATGAGAGGATAGGGACCCAGAGTAGTTCGTCAACCTGCGATCTGCCTGGCTCTATGGACATGAATACGCAAACATACGTTCAACAACCATAAAAGGGGTTGAGTAATCTCTTTAGACATCTCAACACCTCCGGTTTTGTTGAATACTTGCACGATGGGAAATCTGCACACCTTCAGTGCACACCACAGGGAACGGCAAACTTGGATGTCAGGCGGGCAGCTTCTTGGGAAATCAGCTTGGGTTCGCTTCAGGATACTTATGAAATGCTTGCTGTCTGCTCTCACACAGCCGTGCTCCAGGAACCAATGGCGCACCACTGGTTTCAAATTGAGCGCGCCCGCCTCTGTGACAGCGCAACGCGAGCTTTCTGTCATTGTTGCTACCACCTGCTCTGCCTCTGTGTGGAAGCAGCAGGCTGCACCTGCAGAATGGGATTGCAACCAAAACCGCTTGCAAGCTGCACAAGCATGCTCACCTAGGATGTCCGTCCATGAACTGTTTCAAGGACGGCCCAAAATCATCAGGAGGAGTGGAAAGAAACATCTTTGAAAGGATTGTAGACGAAGATGCAAAATGTGGCCCCTACCTGCTTCTCAACTCAGATGCTGCGGCTTGAGGCACGACCTGACAGCAGGCATCACGCTTGAGCAAACACATGCGCAACATGCCGTAAGACCTGCATGGATGGCGGTCGCCCTTTTTAAACGGCACGAACAAATCAGTAGTTGTGGTCTGGCATCTTAAACAATCGACACCTCGCTCGACTTCGGGCTGAAGTCTCTTCCAAAAGAACATTGTGCGCAAACACATTGATATGCACACATAAAAATAAACAAATAACTAGATATAGAAATTGATAATAGGTATATAATATAGATGAATAGCTGGATCAGCCCCAAGAGACCGTGACGCCCGAGTTTTTATGGCAGTCAAGCACAAGCTGCCGCGCCCAGCTCGACCCAATCTACCTGATGCGCCAACAAGCTTCAGAAAACGCAATCGCCCGGTCTGGGGGCCAAAAGCGACAAGAGAACGGCACCCCTGGTTTGAAAGCAATCGGTGGGAAGTGGCCCAGCAACCACAGCTTCAGCCAACCTTTGCTCCCAGCCTGTTCTACTTGGGGGTGCAGGTGGAGTTACAACTGGGTAGAACCATGGCTATACAGCCCCCATAAGTTGGAATATAACGCCGACAACTATGGTTCATCATATATCCACTTAAAACTGAAAAATCGTGTCCGAGCAAACTAGCACCGAACTCTTATAATAACATCGGCGCGCCCAGTCGCAAAAATCTACCCGCAATCATCCTCAGGGCACAGACGCTCGTCGATGCCATCATGCAGCCAATTGCAACTTCACATAGAAGTAAGCCTGGCAACTCCAGCCGTGACTCCACATAGGCCTTAGTTCTGCGTTTGCAAGCGCTCAGTTGACCAGAAGCCACTGGACCCAATCCTATCTGGATGTGCTACTGGAGGAACAAAATTCTGACAGCACTGAAACAAAAGCCATGCGAAACAAAAGCCATGCGCCCCCCCTCGATTGCTGAACCTCAGGGAACATCCGGGAACAAGCAATTCAAAAGACAAGACATCTTGGCCTAACTTCGAATTCTAGGATCTCTGTTGCAACAACGCGGTCATCCGAGGAGACCAATTTTGACAGACATTGTTTCTGATGCTGGAGGAAGACGATTGCCCAAAGTTTCGAATCAAGTGTGTGAACCTGCGCAATGGTGGGCCCACCTAAATAGGGCCCAGAGGGAGCTCCACAGGTGCCTCCGAGCCCAAACCTGTCTTGATACACCGGCTTCTTCCAACAAGAATGCGATGATAGAAACGATAAACAACCATGAAACCACGCACTTGCTGACCTGCTGCTTTCTCCAAGCCGCGAATGGAAAAATATCAAGGCTCCACCCTTTGCCAACTGGGAGCAGCAGCAACATGCTTGAGAATCGTCTGCCAGCTTGAAGAAACCTCAGCTTCAGAATGCGCAGACGGAACAGGAGCACAGGACAATGGTGCGAATTGGAGTGTATCCAAATCAGCAAATTCCCTGGGACGCCCGAATCTCATGGTCCTACAGAAAGACAGATGCGCAGGCCGAACGAAGAATCCAAACTACACAAACCTGATGGCTTCCCAAGGTGCAAAAGGCAAAAGGATGCTCAAAAATACCTCAGGCAGCGGCTTTAAAGTGTAGACTTGGCAACGTTCACATTTGCATTCCAATCCCCCATCACCAAATGTCCACAACCCTCTGCACCTTCAATAGCGCCACCATGGCCGCCAGGCGCGAATCCCAGAGCCGTCCAGAAAGGCTTTGCACAGAGGCGCCGTCGATCTTCGCAAGCCTCTCCAAACATGACACATCAATCGACGCCTTTACTTTCCTGGCGGCCTAGCATGGATGGACCTGGATGGATCTCACATGGCACATGGGGCACTGAATTCATGGTGGCAACAAACCCACGATTCGGGACCAGCTCCGCAGAAGTACAAAATCCAACCATCGGCCCCTTGCTTGTCTGCTCAAGGCACCCACAGCCCTTGAAGTGCCTAAGACATGGCAAACGAACAAGCCTACCCAAATCGCGGAAAGGAATGGTGAAAATGGCTGGTGGTAGTCTGCATGTCAGCAGTATGCCAGGCAGACTGTGAGGTTGGGGATCTCCCACTGGCCACAGCCAAAAGGTTCGTGACTTGTGTGTGCGTGTGTGAATATGCTAGAGGGTTATCATACGCGTTTGATCGAAAATATGATATAGATATTGGAATATCTATCTGTCAATCAACCCTTCTATCTATCTATGTCTCTGTATCTATGCACACATGTCTGGTTTAGGGGCATCACTGGACCTGCACCATTTTTGCCAGGGAATGATAAATATATACATCATCGAAGCTATCTATCCACCTATCTGTCTCCTTATAAACCTCTCTATCTTTCTCTCGATTTGTCTGTCTATCTGCATACCTACATACCTACGTGTGTGTGCGTGTGTGCATATAGTCTACTGGCTTGTGTGTATGCAGCATGGGTAAATACATGTGCGCCTGAATTTACATCAAAATTCACAGGGTCTGATCAAGTAAGAATGTTTTCAACATCAATTTTGCCTGCTTGGCATGCCAAGACCATTTTGTCTGTCTATCTCTGAGCAACACCAGATGCCCTCAAACGCAATTTCATGAAGTCGGCGGCTCCGTTTCCGCAGGTCATGCTTTGATCTTTGCCTCGAAACGGAACTGTTCGTTGGAGAATTTCGTGGCGAGCTCCAAGTCCGTCTTTGGAGCAGTGGAGGCGCCACCAATTAACCATCCAGAAATGGAGATCTCTAATGGGAATATCATGGAATATATATATATATATTATATATATATTATATATATATTACATGTATATGGAAATATATGTATATATGTGTATGAGATGAAGCAATCAAAAAAAGCGCGCATAAGGTTCCACCCAAAACATGATTCCCTACTTCATCCCAAAACGAAACTAGTTGCCCAATCAACCCCGGGCCCCACCAAGCCAAGGCACCAGCGATGAAGAGGTCGAGGAGGAGGAAGAGCGCATCCACGAAGCCCAGGACGTCACATCCAACTCTTGGAACAGGCAAAGCAAACAATCCGGCCATGCTACAGCAGCATATCACAAGGACCCGTCGCTTCCTCAGGGCAAAGCCACTTCTGTCAGGTACATTGCGAAATTTTAGACCCGGGGGTGCCAAAGTGCAACCTTACCAAGGAGAACTTTAAAGATACCCGTTTCGTGCATGTACGCTTCTAAGGTTGCCACGTTTGCATCTCTTTGTTTTCAATGCGCGGCGACGTGAAGGAATGAAAATCCTTCACTGTTTTTGACATTGTGGTCCCCAAAAAACCTGGCGGGGACAATTGCAAAGGTTTGAGCACAAGATTTCTGAAAACCTCCCCTCACCGAGTTGAAATCAGGGCAGAATCCTTTAATTGATACGTTGCAAGTTTGCCAGCACAAATTTCTGATCTGGCATGGCTCAGACAGAAAATATATAGAAAGTAACTGCGATGACAAAAAAAAACTGTGAGCTGACAGGCCACTGCCTGGTCTGAAGGTAGTGTTCGCTCTGTCTCCCCATTGCGCCCACCACTATAGGATGCTGCTCTCGTCGCCCTATTTGAACGGGTAGACACAACGGGGCGCAGGCGTGCAAAGCTTTCCGCAAAAACAATGCATGCTCACATTTGGCAATCAGCGAAACATTCCTCAAAACCACACAAACTTCAGAAATGTCCCGCAGAAGCTGTCGCCGAGCCACTCGCCTGTCTTCAACTCTGCTACTGCGGCATGCAGCTACACCACCTGACGACCGGCGGAGGGCCGGAAAAACAGGTGTGCAGAATGACTCATGTTTCTGCGTCCCATCCACAGCCCCAACTGCCGCAAGCCATGCCATTCTTTCTACAGCACGAATTCCTCCCTGCTCTAGCACAAGCACAGTCAGCCAGCTGCTATTGCAAAAACAAGCTGCTGCTCTCTTTGCGAGACAGCACGGCCAAGAATTTTTGGCCGAAGCCACTTGGAAGCTCAACCGTTCATTCAACTTCCTGATTTCAGGGTTATAAGGAGAAAAAACATTGCTTCCTAGAACATCCCTTTCTCTTAGGATCGACTAACCCATGTCCATTGCTATTCACCTGGATCGGCTTTCCAAGTTTTCATGTGAAAATTTGCCACTACCAACAAGATCTGCACCAGGGGAATTCGCTCAGGCTCACGCCAACAGCTGCATCGCCAGGGGCGTAAATAAATCTGTCCTTCAGCTTTTCCAAGGAATGCACCAGACACCTCAGAAGACAAGGTGCTTTACCTGCAACTTAACCCTATCTCCAAATAATCTGATTTCAGGGTTGTAAGGAGAAAAAACAACGCTTCCTAGAACATCCCTTTCTCTTAGGATCGACTAACCCATGTCCATTGCTATTCACCTGGATCAGCTTTCCAAGTTTTCATGTGAAAATTTGCCACTACCAACAAGATCTGCACCAGGGGAATTCGCTCAGGCTCACGCCAACAGCTGCATCGCCAGGGGCGTGAAGAAATCTGTCCTTCAGCTTTTCCAAGGAATGCACCAGACACCTCAGAAGACAAGGTGCTTTACCTGCAACTTAACCCTATCTCCAAATAAGCTGATTTCAGGGCAAACTAAGGAACAAAACAACGCTTCCTAGAACATCCCTTTCTCTTAGGATCGACTAACCCATGTCCATTGCTATTCACCTGGATCAGCTGTCCAAATTTTCATGCGAAAATTTGCCACTACCACCAAGATCTGCACCAGAGGAATTCGCTCAGGCTCACGCCAGCAGCTGCATCGCCAGGGGTGTGAAGAAATCTGTCCGTCGGCTTTTCCAGGGCAGTTGAGAACACACCAAACACCTCAGAAGGCAAGGTGTTTTACCTGCAACTTAACCCTATCTCCAAATAAGCTGATTTCAGGGCAAACTAAGGAACAAAACAACGCTTCCTAGAACATCCCTTTCTCTTGGGATCGACTAACCCATGTCCATTGCTATTCACCTGGATCAGCTGTCCAAATTTTCATGCGAAAATTTGCCACTACCACCAAGATCTGCACCAGAGGAATTCGCTCAGGCTCACGCCAGCAGCTGCATCGCCAGGGGTGTGAAGAAATCTGTCCTTCCGCTTTTGCAGGGCAGTTGAGAACACACCAAGAACCTCGGAAGGCAAGGTGCTTTACATGCAACTTAACCCTATCTCCAAATAATCTGATTTCAGGGTTGTAAGGAGAAAAAACAACGCTTCCTAGAACATCCCTTTCTCTTAGGATCAACTAACGCATGTCTGCAGCACGTTGGTTGCGTGTTCTTCCTGCGATCAACAGCGTATAAAAGATATAAAGATAGCCCCTGAAATCCATGCGAACAACCAAGCATCAACACACCATAGCTTGAATGAACGTCGGGCACGTCGCTACGCAACCTACAATAATAAAGCAAAAAACGCACCTCAGCGGCCAAATTGAGCCCGAGCTGCTGCGCACCGGGAAAATAAAGTGCAGCATCCGTGCCAAGGAGCCGAGGTAACAGCTGCGCGGCCACAGAAACTCCCGGCGACCAAGCTGTCTTGATGCACAGCTGAAGACAAGGCACACACCAATGTCCATAGCACGTTACCTGGGCAAGAAAGTTTGAAAATGGAAATGAACGGAAATTTCCCCACTGACAGGAAGGTTGCCCCAAATAGTTTTCTTCACTTCTCCCCATTCCATGTTTGGCCAATTGGTTGATGCCAAGCCACAAAAGCGACAAGCCGTCATCCGCACAGCATTCGCAACTTCGCATTGATGTAGGCCAGCGCAACTCCGGCCATCGCCATGCCTTAGTTCCGCACCGGCAAGCGCTCACAATTGCCTGGATCACATGCGGACGCTCTTCTAACACAAACAAAAACAAAAATGAAGCAATGCAAAGGACAAAAGAAAAAATCCTCCCAAGGATCGCTCATGCCAGATCAGCGCTGAGCTCCATGGCTTTGAGTTGAGGATTCAGGGCCTATGGTTGCGCATTGCCGTTTCACTTTCGCTGGTCCTTGGTCCAACAAGGGATGCTGATGTCAAGGCTGATTCCAATATAGCATAAGTCAGCATAAGTTATGCTTCTGTGAAAGCCTTCGGCGTGAGCCCACATTTAACATGTGCGGCGAAAGACGAAAGAACACATGGGATAGTCTCACAGACATGAAACGTGCTGGGGGCTAGGAACCTAAAACAACACGCAACCACGTTTTTTCAGGCGGAATAAGATTTCAGGGACGAGCTCACATATTGAACATGTCTGATTGATACGGCGGCTTCCGACAAGAGTACGACAATCAAAGCCATGCATGTTGACATGTCCATCCATCCCTCTGTCCACCTGTCCATCTTTCCATCTAGATCAATCTATCCCTCCATCTATGTGTCAAGATATTGATGCATAATGATGCATACATATGCGTGTATAATACATATATATATAATATATATATATATATAACTTGTGTATCTGCTTCTTCTCAATCAACATTGGAATTTGGATATACTGATGAAGCATTGTTGATTTCACAGTTTGCCTCGAAACCAAGCTTCTGAAGTTCTGCCTGTCAACCCCCCAACGTTGACCACATCAGAACTGCTGCATCTCTCTGGGATGGTTGCCACAGCAGTTTGACATGGTGAAAGCATACCACAACTCACGCCTGCAATGGATTGACGTCAGAGGCAACTGCAGTCAGTGGGGATGAGATGGAGCACTGAAATTGGCATATAACATGGACAACCCGATGGATCCTTACAAATATCCTAATTAATGGGGCAAAAGGCCTGGTGCCGCGAATATCTTCATATGCATCACCTACTGATTCAATCCCGAAGAGCATAATTCGTTCTTGAGCTTTGGCCAAACAGATGAACCTAGAATGCGGGCCCTCATCATGTGCCACTAGTGATGTAACCCCAAAGCTGCCAAGATTCCAAGTTCCAGCGTCATCGTCGCTTTCCAAAGGCACAAGAGGTAGCTTGCGCAAAGATTCGCACGCTGCGCAGAATATCATTTTCAAAGGCGGACTGAGCCTGGCTCCTGGCAACAAATCCACTAGTTATCATAATTTTCCTTCTTACAGCGTTTAGTGCATTTTCAGACACATCTAAGTGAAAGACCGTGGGCTGGCCGTAAGTGCACTTGCAGCTGTGATGTTTAGGTTTCCCTGGTGGGGGACTTGCCACACTAATTGAAGACACGCGGGATTCCTGGGCACTGGGATGTTGAAAGCTACGTGCAAGTCTCAGTGTGGTTGGGATGCTGGCAGCAGATGCCCTTGTAGAGGGTGTTCCAGATCTCTACTTGCACAGAGAGCACCAGGTTACCAACTCCGAAGGCTTCCAAGGCAGAAAAGCCAACCGGCAGCCACAGCTTGGCAAGGCAAAGTCTTGGGCTATGCCACTGGAGGAAGCCCTCCGCCCCGCCTGCTGAAAGCAACCATGGCGCATTCAAGGAGCGCTTGTTGCATCGCAGCTAGTTGATGGAAGATATTGTTAATAGTTGAACTAAAATTTATTGGATGCTATAGTAGGAAATCAACGTCCAAGAATGACCAATTGTGGCAGTTTCGATGCGTCAGGAAGATTAAAGGGTGGGACCCGATGAACCGTCAAGATGGCCTAGCATTGGCCCATACATGCAGATATGGATTGCAATCAAAAACTGGCATGTGCAACTCCGACCCCCAAGATTGTTTCATGTAAATAGGTGGGTCCGTCCCTTCAATAGTTGTATGGGACTTATTGAACACATGCAGTCGCAAAATACCCGGGACAAAATACCCACGAAAAATGGAACTGTCCATGTGTTGCGGGAAAGTGATGCACATGACAGTCACCCGTCGAAGAGCGTTGGCCATGCTTTAGTTATGTTAAATTTGGAAAATGAGGCCGCCTTTTGGCGGAATCAATGCTGCTTGGGTTGTTCCCTTGCTAATTATAAATGTTCTGGGTCGTGATTCTAACTCATAGCACCTGGGTTATGATTGCTAATATATACTCTATTGCTCAGAAATCTATATATCTATATATGTTGTGACTCTGCATCTGATTTTTATCTTGTGGTGTCTACGCATCTCTTGTCTGAACCTGCTTATCTGTCCCTATCTTACTAGTATGTTTTCCTAGGTATATGCATGTGTATATAGGTATATGCTTGTGTAGACATGTCCATATGTCTATGTGTATATATATATATATGCTTCCGTGTCCCGCGTTCGCACCCCCCCACAATGGAATTGTCCCCCACGGGCCCGCACCTTTCTCCCCCCAAACCCTATTTGCAGCATTTCAGAACCACAACCTCCCAACGAGACCCTAGCTACGTATCATACTCTAAACTAATCCACCTCTGCAATACCTACCAAACTACCGATCTTCTACCAGTCCTCTACCTTTGTACTACGCAATGAGACTTAGATACTACCTATGTTATGTACTGACTTGCACTTTCACTGTATGACAAACTACATATCACTCGCCTATATGACACTCCATGACACTCCCTACAACATACAAACTAACTCCATGCTACTGATATATCTATATACAGTGTTTGTCTGCAGCGTAGCAGTATACTAGACTTATATACTTCTCATACAGTACCTTATCTACCCCTACCTAAAACATATCACCGGTACACTACACATATACTATTGATATACTACGTGTATATTGCCTATATGATATATGTATAAATCTATATATGTGTATGATATATATATATATGATATATATATGATATATATGTGTGTGTGTATGTGTATGATATATATATATATATACGTATGACATGTATGTATGTATGTATGTATGTATGTATGTATGTATGTATGTATGTATGTATGTATGTATGTATGTATGTATGTATGTATGTATGTATGTGTATGATGTATATATGGTGTATATATATATGATGTATATATATATATACCAAATATATATATATACCAAATATATATATATATCATACATATACATATATCCTATAATATATATATATATACTCCCTATATACTCTTATATACTGACTGTATACTGAGTATCAAACACCCCGCACCCCACACCCCACCACACCCAGAGCGAGGGAGGTTGGACGATCAGAACCATACCTTGATGGGGGGTTGGAGGGTGGGGAACGCTGGAGAATATATATATATATATACACACAAAACTCTTGCCTTATGTTCTCCCTATTCTACTGACTCTCTAACTTTGTCTGCTTTTACAGCCATCTAAAATTTACCTATCAACAGCGAAGGATCTATATCTATACTATACAATCCGTTCATCCATCCGTCCATCCATCAATGTATCTACCCATGTATCTACCAATGTATCTACCAATGTATCTACCATCCCTCTATCGAATCATTATCCATTCTGTATCGATTCATCTATCCGATCTCTTGTACATGTTTTACCTTTCCACTTGTTTCTTTCTTTCCCGTGTTCCAATCTCTTGTATCGATCCTTTTCCATCTATTCTGTCTACCCTATCCATCACAAATATCCTACCTATCCAACTGTCCATTCATATCGCTATCTATCCCTATCCACTATCCATGCATATAATTTTGTCCTGGATCATCGAACGCGCACCACATGGGATCTCATCAAGTTTGAGCCGGCTGAGCACGGAGGCCATCATCCCCCAATCATGTGCGGTGGATACCCCAGTTGTGGCGTGTTTTGAGCATAAAAATTTGGCGTTGAAGATCGTTTAACCATCCTGAAATGAATATATAATGATACATATGTATATATATATAATTATAGGCAATATCATGTGAAATACCCCAAAATGAACCAGATATATTGAACCAGAGGTTCGTTTGGGGGGTCTTTTGTATTGGGGAGATATTGATTACTTGGGGCTCAAGTCTTGGGAATCCTGTGGTTGATCTACAGTAAGCTATCTTTCCATGGTATCGTGTGGATACAACAACCCAAAATGAACGAGTGCAGTCACAAACTGGAGAGATATCACACATGATGCGAAAATCTCTCATTTCTTGATGGTTTTCCTATTGAATCCCCTAGGATCGTCCAGCTTGCCACGTTTCCGGCAAGGAGGATCCCACCGCCCCCATCCGGACGATCCCCAGAAATATTCCCACGCAAGTCGTACGTTTTTTTGTAGTTATGTGTATATGTACAAGTACATCGTATCATATATGATTGATGTGTCTGATATATTATATAGATATACAAATCATATATTCTATTGGTATAACTTAAATCACCTCTATATTATATCTTTAGTATTATGTGTATGTGTATATATATATACACTGTATATACGTAACTATAGATAGATGATAGTTTTTATGTAATTTTAGATAGATTATAGATAGTTATATATGTGTGTATATATATGTATATATATACATTATAATATATATATATAATTATAAATATAATTATATATATATATACACATCCTTCTCCAGCCCAACTTCAGGGATCTGTGCCCCCGGGCCCCACGAAGCTGCTCCACCGCCACGCCGGACTCGTTGGGCGACACAAGGCCCTCCATGACGTGCACCGGCACCGCCAGCACCGTACTCTCGGTGAGCACGTTCTTTCGCCGCCTTTTGTTGTACCTCTTAGTGGAAAACCCTAAGAATCATATGGTTTATACCATCCATAAAAATCAATAAAATGGAATTTTCATGAACTGTCCCTATAAATATGGAGGTTGTCCTTTTTTTAATGGGACAGTACCTCTTGTAATTTGTTACGTAGCTAGTGGAAAATGGATGAAAATTGCCCATCTATAAGCGATTTGTCTATGAAAATAAGCTTCGGCGGTATCCCCAACAGCAGCAGCAGTAATTTTGTTTCATAGTTTTTTTCGTCCGAAATTTGCTGGAACTTGACCGAAAAGCTACGCCCACGCAGTCCCGGAATCGCACCGGAACCTACTTGAAGCCTCGTTGAACCTGGCCGCACCAAGACCTTCCGGAACCTTTTCCAGAACCTTCTCCGGAACCTCGCTGAACCTGGCCCGGCTCTCCACCGAAGCCCTCCGCCTATCGGCCAGCTCTGCACCAAAGCCCTCCGGAACCTTCTCTGGAACCTCGTTGAACCTGGCCCGACTCTCAACCAAAGCCTTCCGGAACCTTTTCCGGAACCTCGCTGAACCTAGCCCGGCTCTGCACCAAAGCGATCCCTCTTGAACATGACCTGGATCTGCACCAAAGGCTCCCCCTTCTCCGGAACCTTCTCTGGAACCCTGTTGAACCTGATGCGGCTCTGCACCAAAGTCTCCCAGACCTTCTCCGGAACCTTCTCCAGAACCTTCTCCGAAACGCTGTTGAACCTGACCTAGCCTCCCAGACCTTCTTCGGAACTTTCTCCGGAACCTTCTCCAGAACCTTCTCCGGAAACCTGTTGAACTTGACGCGGCTCTGCACCAAACTCTCCCAGACTTTTCCGGAACCTTTTCCGGAACCCTGTTGAACCTGGCCTGGCTCTGCACCAAAGCCTCCCCGAACCTTCCGTTGAACCTGACCCGGCGCCTGCACCAGTGCACACCGGAGCTGTTCTGGGCTGAAGACCCCATTAGCTTACGCTATTGGGGAAATATATAAGAATTGGGATATAACATACCTTTTACCCTCCAGTAATCAAACATGCCACTTGGGAATCCCTTAATTATAGATGAAGGTTTTCATAGGGAAATAATCCTGTTGCCACGTTTGATGACCGGAGAGAATCGGCCAACCGAGATGAATCTTGGGATGAAATTGGAAAAGTAGAGATGCCCTCCGTTGACGATTGTTGAAGATGGTGTTTAATGTAGATATATTACATTATATAGCTAACTATCAGGCTATTGCAACTATTGGGATGCTACTTGGGATAAGTTTGCAAGCGATAATTATAATAGTTGCGGTGTTTCTTTAATATTCGGGAGGAAAAGCATGAACATACATGAGCACGCATGCTTTGTTTATCTTTTTTTATACGGATTGTTGACCATCCAAAAGTGTGGTTTCTTGCATGACTTGTTCTTTAAACATCTTATGTAAGCGTTTGTGGGGACCTCTGCAAAGAGGCCACTGCCCCTGCGTTTTGGGGTTGAGGTTTGGACGGAACACGTTCAAAATATTAGGTTAGGCCATGTGCCAAAATCTTTCGAATCCTCTAAGCCGACATCCTCTCTTTTAGACATTTCTGCCCCCTCCGTATCATTGGTGCCGAAAAGATTGACTGCAGCTAAGTCACAGCCGAAAGGATTCCACAGTGTAGCTGATTGCTGTCCTCAGCATCGAGGCTTGGGGCAAAGAAACGGGGAATCCTGGCGTAAGCAACCCGTCGGCCCAAAAATAATGATAAAAAATAATGATCAACTAAAAAATAGTATATTAGTTATAGTTATATTAGTTATTCAGCCCAAAAAAATAGTGGGCCCTACTAATAATGCGGGCCAACCCTGATCAGTTAGGCAAAAACTCCATCGATGACTCGTCACTTCTCCCCATCAGCCCAAGCATCTGTGGCGACAAGGCTGCCAAGTGCAAGACTTCCGGTCGAAAGGCGCGGCCTGGCCATGTGAAGTCCTTTTTGCACCACCAAGTAGCTGCTGTGTGATCACTGCCACCATGAAAAGTTCTTCATATTTGCATATCGTCAAAATATGTTCAAAGACGGTATCTGAAATCACGTAAATCACGGGCCTTTATAGACTTCAACTGCCAAAAAGCGGACAAAACGGACATGTTGGGATACACTGGGTGTGATGCCAATATCCAGGGTGCCAAGTGGTACCATTTCGATGCGAACATCTTTACCTCCTTAAAGATGATTCTGGGACTTGGGCCTTGATAAATATAGAGAATGAGCCAGTAAGATCGAATATATGAACATAGATCAAGTTCTCACAACTATCGTAGCCAAGCACATTTATGTCATTTATTATCATTTCAACTGAAGCATCTCATAGCATCTATTCCCCACGTTCAACAGTTGTCATCCCTTCGGTTCGATGATGCCAGTGGCTGGGCTGATAGTCTGCCAAAAAAAATCTTGGGCAAACAACCAAATCCAAGCAACTTCATGAATGTCATGTTTTGCAAGACATATACATACAGTGTGCACCTATATATATATATATATGGTATCAGTTTGTGTCTGTTATGTCATATCATGCGCTATCATATGAATGAATGGGTTGATATATTGTTATATACATGTGGATTATGCTTACATCTACAATTGGAACAATCCATGCATGTACTTGTTTACATCATGTTGATACGACTTGCCTCTCCCACTGCTCTACAAGATGAGCATTCTCCCGCGCACCTTCTTTAGCCGTCATTCCTGAGAGATTCACACAGACCCCTTGGGGGTGCATCCCAGCCGCTATAGGCGGGTCAGCGGGAGTAACCATGTTATAATCCAGATATACATAAAATATCCATAGATATCCCCAATTATATATGGCTTGCATATGACGTGTAAACCATGTACAAAGCATTCATCACAACAAAGCTCTTGCACAGGAATGGAGGTATAACATGGTACAACCAAAAAAATGGTGGTAGAAACAACAACATATTCTGAATATCACCAAAACAAAGAAATTTGATTTATCTCAACTGTTTGATAATATGGCTATGGATATGGGACAATAGCCTAGTACCCTCACATTCACACACGGCTTTGTTTGAAAATGTGGTATCCCCAACTCGCATGGATCAATGGTTTATTCTCAATTTCCCTATCTCAACTGCCATGTCCCGGGTTATTTTTAGGTATACCCGGTATACCCCCATTTTCAGACATATCCATGATATCCTACCCTCAAATCCAGAGGGTCCCACAGGTATTGACCAGTCTTTACTATATGTATGTCTTCTGGGGAACCAGATGGCACCGACATGAGGCTTTTTTCCCCACCTGCCAGGTGAGGGGTGTTAGATTTTATCAGAGCGCTCTTCCTCCGCCTCCTCTCCTCCTCCTCCTCGTCCTCCTCCTCCTCCTCGACTAGCTGTCCTCTTCCTCCTCGTCCTCCTCCTCGCCTCCTCCTTCAGTTTCTCCTCGGCCATGTCTGCATCAACTTCCACCTGCACTTCCGCCTTGCCAACTCTTCGCCAAGCTCTTTGCCAACTCTCTTTGCCGACTCTCTGCGCCAAGCTCTTTGCCAACTTCCCAGCTCAGTGTGCACCGCTGGACCTCAACCTGGGACCTTCCCAGCTCAGTGTGCACCGCTGGACCTCAACCTGGGACCGTTCCAGCTCAGTGTGCACCGCTGGACCTCAACCTGGGACCTGCCCAGCTCAGTGTGCACCGCTGGACCTCAACCTGGGACCTTCCCAGCTCAGTGTGCACCGCTGGACCTCAACCTGGGACCTGCCCAGCTCAGTGTGCACCGCTGGACCTCAACGGCCATATAGAATGCCAGAAGAGATGCCAGATAGAATGTCAGATAGAATGCAAGAAGATATGCCAGATAAAATGCCATAAGATATGCCAGATAGAGTGCCAGAAGATGTGCCAGATAGAATGCCAGAAGGTATGCCAGATAAAGTGCCAGAAGGTATGCCACATAAAATGCCAGTTAAAATGTCAGATAGAATGCCAGAAGATATGCCAGATAAAGTGCCAGAATGTTTGCCAGAAGATTTGCCAGATAATATGCCAGAAGAGATGCCAGATAGAATGCCAGAAGATATGCCAGAAGATGTGCCAGATAAAATGCCAGAAGATATGCCAGATCGAATGCCAGAAGATATGCCACATAGATTGGCAGAAAGTGTGCCAGTAACAAAATGTATAAATGTCATGGTGGGGATCACACGAAGTAAAGTAATTTATACACTTTTACAAAGTAGCCCCAAAAAATGTCGGAAAGTCATTCACCACAATTTAAGGATGGAGTGGGCTGTTATCAACTACCACTAGGTCACTGACAACATGATGCTGACGACCCGGACGGCCCAGACCTTCATCTGGAAATCCACAACATGGAACACAGAAATGCATAAGAGCTGAACCCTAGTATATGTATTGCATGTATACATATGTAGTAACCCCAAAAAGACAGAAAATGTGTTTTCCCATATCTTTTGTGGTGGCTGTTATGAATAGAAAGCCCATGATAGCCCCGCAATGTGCAATCAGTGTTGTTGGGTGGCTCATCTTACAAGTGTGATAATGTTCAATTGGAACATCAAATGTGATTCCACCCAATACCATAAACCATCCCTAACATCACCATGTTTATGGTAAGTATCATCCACAAATGCTGGGTTTATGGCATTGGGTGTACCACATTACTGTTAAGAATATTTAAAATGTTGCCATTTTAAATATTTTACCAACGGAGTCCAGAAGCCATGCGCCATCAGCGCCATCACTGGAGATCCAAGGTGCTCATACAGCAGTGCACAAGATCCAAATTTCTTTTCCAGGCTTCTACCACTCCATCGCATTCCAGGCCTGAGGGCGTTGCAGCACTGTTGCGGGCACCGGGTTGGTCCTTCCCAAGGCAAAACCAAGAAAGTGCCAATTGTGTAGATGGATGGACAATCAATATGTATGTATGTATGTATGCATGCATGCATGCATGGATGTATGTATGTATGTATGTATGTATGTATGTATGTAATGTATGTAATGTATGTAATGTATGTAATGTATGTAATGTATGTAATGTATGTAATGTATGTAATGTATGTAATGTATGTAATGTATGTATGTATGTATGTAATGTATGTAATGTATGTAATGTATGTAATGTATGTATGTATGTATGTATGTATGTATGTAATGTATGTAATGTATGTAATGCATGTGTGTTATGCTATGTTATGGTATGGTATGTTATGTATGGTATTGTAATGTAGTGTCATGTTATGTCATGTAATGTATGGTATGTTCTGGTATGCAATGTAATGTAATGTAATGTAATGTAATGTAGTGTCATGTTATGTTATGTTATGTATGGTATGTTATGGTATGTAATGTAATGTAATGTAATGTAATGTAGTGTGGTGTAGTGTAGTGTAGTGTAGTGTCATGTTAATGTATGGTATGTTATGTAATGTAATGTAGTGTAGTGTAGTGTAATGTTATGTTATGTTATGTATGCATGCATGCAATGTATACAATGTATACAATGTATACAATGTATACAATGTATGCATGTATGCATTTATGCATGTATGCAAGTATGCATGTATGCATGTATGCATGTATGCATGTATGCATGATACACACAGTTTTGATTTATTGTACATATAGATGCAAACTATTTGAAACCTGTGTTCTGGAGTACAGGATCTACAGGGGTTATCTCAAAGATTGATTACACCAAACAGTGTGATTTTCAAAATTCAAGGGTAATTCACGTTGGTTGATGGACCTTCGTACTTTTCAAAAACGGACCCATGATGAAACTGGGCCTAGAAAAGCGTCGCATGATGGCGCACACCTTTCCCAAAACATTGTGATGTCGAACAGTTTTGGTTGCCCCGTACAATATCAATGTTCAAATCACAGATGCCACCATTTCCTGCTGCCTGAACCAAACCCAAAATGCATTATTCGGAGACCAATCCGTTCAACCAAACATGAACACGTTTTCTACGTAAATGTTCAAAACAAAAATGAGGTGTCAAATGTGTTTAAACGGCATTGCCATGATTCTTAAATTCACCACCACAACCCTTCCCATCCAACCTTTTCAAACACAAACCACAAAACGGTAAATTTCTAAGCTGATTCAAAATAATGCCAAAGGACCTCATTTGATGAATTGGATTTGCCATCCGTATCCACCATGATTTTGAACAATGGTGGTGGCCACCAACATACGTCATATGATTAGTTGACCCGTACCCTCCCTGCCCACCCACATTTCCAACCACCTTCCACCCAGTGGCAAAGCCGCGGCCCGGTGACAGGCGGTGAAGTGCAGCCATTGTTTTCCAAGACATCTTCCTGAATGGGATGAATCGGTGCCTTGGAAAAATTGAACTGGAAGTTTGTTTGAATGAACCGTTGAATAAGAGCGGTTCAAAAAACCATGGCCCGGGCCATAATAAAAATTATATATATATGTATTAATGTGTAAATAAATACGTGTATATATATATATATATATGTATATGTGTGCATATATTTATACATAGATATATATAGACATATATATATATATATATGTGCATATATGTATACATAAATACATATGTGCATATATGCATACATATATATATATATGTGTGTGCATATATTTATAATTACATATATTTATACATATATATATATATGTATGTATATATATATATATGTCCGTTTATCGGTTTATTGTATGCATTGGCGTAGCGAACACGTTAAACAAATTTTAGGCATAATTGATCACATGTTGACCAAACATATTTACAAACTGAATATCGTAAAACACAATTTAGATTCAAAAACTGGCAACAACACTGCACACTGTACCGTTTGAAGAAAATCAGTCGTGCTCCGGCACCACGGCAGAACAAATGGTCAGGAAATAAAAAAAATGGAAGGCCAAGGGAGAAAGGATGAGTGCAAAAACAAGATTCGAAACACCATTTTCATTTTGGAAGTTGGAATGTTGCGCGGTCATGTGTTTTGCAAAAAACTGCAAGTGGGCTCTCGATGTTCAATTGCACACGGGACAACTCACGACCGAAATTTTCAGGACGTCACCTGGTAGAAAAAAACATGTTGCAATGTTTCCTTGGTTGCACATGTCGTGTTTCTTTTTTTGAATATTGGCTCACCTGAGCGGTTGGAAAACTACCGCACTGGGACTGCGGTCTGTGACACCTAAGGTTGCTGTTTAGGTTCTGCCCAACATGTCTGGGAGCGCGAAAGCCCAGCAACACTGAAAGTTGGAGGCTGCTCTTTGGATTGTCGTACAAAAATCCTTGTCAATGTTCCCATTTTGGGTTTTTGGTCCTGTGCTGTTTTGGCGGGTTTGCCCCTGCCCCGCTCCTGAAATGTCTAATTTTCACTCTTCACACCTCTTCACCCAAACTTCATGTGAAGGCTGTTAGCTGTCATGCCTTTGCCTTTCATGAACCCCTCATTGTTTCCATGGCCATGGCTGTGACGGAGCAGAAAGGAACTGTTGCTAGCTGTGCGAGGGGCAGTAAGGAAGGTGTGCTACACGCAGCTACGTGGCTGCAGAGTTCAAACATGGGCTTCTGGCACCAAGCTGCCCCTTGCATGTGCCAGGGCAATGCAACCTAAGTGCTGAATGCTGGAAGGCACGCACAACTCCCAAAGCTGCATGTCAAGCTCCAAGCTCTGCCAGGACTGATTGAATTTTTCCTGAAAATGGATGTGACAGCATGAAAGGGTGCTTCCAAGCCAAGCTGGTAACCATGGCAAGGCGTCGAGCCCTCACTTAGCCAAAGAATATCAGGTTGCTGCCGTGACACCACTGCTGCTGGCAGGTGAATCGGGAGGCAAGGCTGCAAGGGACAATCCAGAAACTGGAGATCACTGGATCATCCGTCACACAGGCTGGACTCGGCCCCTGCACTCCCAAAAACAAAAAGGCCTTTCAAGAAAACTACGCAAAGAGGCAAATCTGGGCCAAGTCTAGCATTGCGTTTCAGAAACTGAAGATCACTGGATCATCCGTCACACAGGCTGGACTCGGCCCCTGCACTTCCAGAAAGAAAAACTCCTTTCAAGAAATCTACGCAAAGAGGCAAATCTATCTATCTATCTGTCTATCTATCTATCTACCTATCTATCGATCTATCTATCTACCTATCTATCTATCCATCTATTTATCTATCTATCTATCTGTCTGTCTGTCTGTCTATCTGTCTGTCTGTCTATCTATCTATCTATCTGTCTGTCTATCTGTCTCTCTGTCTATCTATCTATCGATCGATCCATCTATCTATCTACCTAGCTGTCTACATCTAACTATCCATCTATCTATCCAGCACCAAAATCTAGAATAAATTCTTGGCAAGTGACAGGGCTTCAAAAGATTAGCTCACAAGATCTGCAAAGAAGGACCTATTCAGGTGATATCTTTCGGATACTGCCGTTCTCAAATAAACTTATTTCTCCAAGCGGAAAGAAACAAAGAAGCCCTCCTCGATACTTGTTAATGGAAGATCCTGCACAAGGATGCAGACCCCGTTAAAGGACATCACAAGGATTCTATAGAAGAACCTCCCCTGACAATCTATACAAGATATCTGCTGGCAGGGGCCTCTTCAAGGATCTCCACCTAAGGAGTATTTAGACGACCTCACGCAGAATCTTTATAAGATATCCTCACTCGAGGATCTGTATACAAGGACCTCTTAGAATCCTGGAGGAGCTCACGGGATCTATGCTCTTTACAAATAGCCCCTCAAAGGATGGATTCGGCAATATCTGTAAACAAGGGTTTTTTTGCACAAGGATACAAGAGGCCAAAATGATAATTTTGCACTAGCTGACACTGAAAAATTGAATTCAAACAGATGAAAATCAAGCCCACAAAAGTTGAGCTCGTACTTATGCAAGATGTCTGCCGCACATGGAACTTGGAGGCTGGAAACCCAACTCTCCCGGCAGGTTTCTGCCAAAAAGGACATGGGAGGAGCTGAAAACTAAATTGCGTGAATTTCATACAATTCGTCGCATCTCTTCTGACGCAGCGTTCTCGACATCTTGACACTGAACAATCCGACCGGGACGTGGTAATAGAGGGACTCCACCTTTGTTTCATCGACCTGGGTGAGGCACCCTTAGTTTGTATCAGTCGTGCCCTGTGCTACAAAGCGCTTTCATTCGGACGGTGGTAAACGTGGAAGAAGTAGTCTCAAAAGAAGCCTGTGAAAGAAAATTTGACAGCGTAAGCTAAGCAGCTAGCTGGTTGGAAACAAGAGGGGCTATGACTATATGAGCAAGAGTGAAGAAGAACCACCAGCCCTTTGGAAAATCATCTAGGGAAGTTCAGCGCCACCCCCACAAGCAGCGATCCAAAATTCGAACTGTCGCTGAACAAGAGCGCCTGAAACTCTTTATGCATGTCACCTCTCTTGCGGTACTTGCTCCTTTTTATCACTCGGGCCTTTCTGAAGAGAATATATATAGTTATTCCGATTCCTCTTCAACAATGTTCTTGGCGTCCTGAGAAGAAACCATCTGCTGCTGAAAGGTGCGTTTACTTTTTCGCTAAGTGTTAAAGGTTGCGTGATTATGCCGGACCAGTCTGATGAGACAGTGAGTAATTTGGTGTATTACGCCCAGGTGCATCTAGCTCCTTCAGTTCACAGGTGCAGCAAGCTGGCCTGCCGGGGCCTAACATGCCTGGAATAGTTTCTGCCGACACTACAGGGTGCGGCAGCCTTCTCACCACCAGTTCGGGATGAATTCCCGCACAGTAGGTAGAATTGAACCAGCTACGATTTTGGGGCTGCTAGGCAAGCAATTTCGCACAGGCCTTAGTGCAGAGTCAAGTTCCACCAATGCTGCTTCAGTCCATGAAGGCTCTGAACAGGCATGGTTCCAAACGATTTAGACATGTTCCAAAACTTGGGAGACACCAAGACTGGTAAATCGTGGCCATGCCTATTTCCACTTCCACGCGTATACATGCACGCATCGCGCACGAACAAATCGGTCCGTACCGTACCACTCAAGGCCTGCAGTTTCAGCGCAAGATCGGCACTGCCACAGTCACTCTATTGAAATCCTATGTTGTAAAAAAAGTGTCTTCCTCGTGTCTTTGCTGCGCTGCACTTGCAAGAGGTGCCATGCAATGGGGCAGCTCACCTGAAGCCTTCTCCTTTTTTTGTCTGGGATCCAGCGTACTCAATCCTAAGAAAATGTCGGCTTGCAGCAACAGCGGGTCACCGTCAATTCCAGCAATTCAAGACTAGTTGCAGGAGTCATCATTCCCAGCCGCCCAAGATCTTGCCATTTCCCGTTGGGGCTGGCGCAATGCATGTCGCCATCCAGTATATATCAAGTTAAAGTAAAACTAGAATTGAGCAGGCGGATGAAGTTCTGAAGCGTCACAAGTAAAGCACGGCTTACAGCTACTTTTTCCGGTGTAGACTTTCCGCCTAGTTTTGTGGCAGGACAAGTTGAGCTTGAAAACCACTTGCAACGCTTTTGATTCACACCTTATAGCGATTTAATGGTCAAGATTCCATGGGAACAGCATCGCTCCCCCCTAGTTCGTCTTTCCACGCGCAAACAGAAGCTGTTGTTCCAACATGCAGTCGACATTTCTACCTTGGCACTAAACAGTAATGCAGACTAAGAAGCAAGTGGTGAGAGAAATGCACGCTGCGAAGGTACTTCCAGCAGGTTTGCTCCACCTGCTTTGGCAGGAGCCTCCAAGCAAGTGGAAATCAAGAGAATCTTGACATCGAAACCCAAAGCAAATCTCAGAGCAACCTTAGCAATGGTGGCTTGTGCTGCGTTACCGATAAGATTCCTCATCCCCTCCACATGGCTGAAACGATGAAAGAAAAAGCAAAAGCCTGTCTCAAGTAGCAGGACAATCGCAGCAACTTTGGCACGAGATAATTATTTGCATCATGTCGATACAGTTTTGATTGCCACAGGCTTATGTCGCCATTAAATGCAAGATTGGGATGGCCTTCAATAGGGAGATTACATCCAGTTCAGCATGTCACGTGTTCAGCAGCCTATGCCCGGTACTACATCGAAGGACGCGCCGCTTCTAGTCGCACTTTCGACAATCGTGGGACACCCCGCCAAATCCCAAGCCTGACTTGGACATTGTTGGTGGCATCATCTGGAGAAAATTATGGTTACGACAGGAACAACTTTTGCAGGTGCAGGGGCACCGGCCACAGCGCGGAAAGCTTCCACATGGTCTCAACCCAGCAATCAGAAAGATGCGTCAACCAATCCTTTCTTGAAAACTAATAGCCGCATAGGCACGGCTGAAGATCCACTGCAGCCGCTCAAGCAACAAA